ATGGAATGAGGAGTCCATTGATTTCAATGGCTGCCCTTCTTCTTGGAATGGGATTGTTTGTAATGGTGGAAATGTTGCTGGTGTTATCCTTGATAACTTAAGTCTCTCTGCTGATGCAGACTTGAGTGTTTTTTCGAACCTTACGAAGCTTGTGAAACTCTCCATGTCAAACAACTCTATCACAGGCATCATTCCTGACAATATAGCTGACTTCAAAAGTCTTGAATTTCTGGATGTGTCAAATAATCTCTTTTCTTCAATTTTGCCGCCAGGCATTGGTAAATTAGGGAGCTTAAGGAATCTTTCACTTGCTGGGAATAACTTCTCAGGTGCTGTTCCAGAAACAATTTCAGGGCTTGTTTCAATCCAATCTTTGGACTTGAGCCACAATTCCTTGTCTGGTTCACTCCCAACCTCAGTAGTAAAACTGAATGAGCTGTTGTATCTAAATCTTTCTTCCAATCAGTTTACCAAGGGAATCCCAAAAGCGTTTGAGCTCATTTCTGGTCTTCAGGTGCTTGACTTGCACGGGAATATGCTAGATGGCAACTTAGATGGGGAGTTTTTCCTTCTTTCAAATGCCAGCCATGTTGACCTTAGTAGGAATATGCTGCAGAGCTCTAGTTCGGAGAAGTTACTACCAGGCATTTCCGAGAGTATCAAGTATTTAAATCTTAGTCACAACCAACTTACTGGATCATTGGTTGGGGAAGCGGAGCTTCGTTTGTTTGGAAATTTAGAGGTGTTGGATCTAAGCTACAATCAGCTATCTGGAGAATTGCCTGGATTTAATTTTGCATATGATCTTCAGGTCCTCAAGCTCAGCAACAACAGATTTTCAGGCTTCATCCCTAATGTCCTGCTGAAAGGAGATTCTTTGCTTTTAACCGAGCTTGATTTAAGTGGGAACAATCTCTCAGGTAGGCTTTTAATGATATTGATACTTTAGCTTATATAGGCATCCTAAAAAGCTTGAATATGTGATTTTTGTCAACTTATGGATTCTTAGTTGCGTTTCCAGTTTTCTGTTTTTACTATGCCTCACACTTCCTGTTCATCTTTCAGGGCCGGTATCCATGATCATGTCTACAAATCTGCAGTTACTCAATCTTTCCTCAAATGGGCTCACAGGGGAACTTCCTTTACTGACTGGAAGTTGTGCAGTACTTGATCTATCAAATAACAAATTAGAAGGAAATTTAACCAGAATGGTACATTGGGGGGATATTGAATACCTTGATCTCAGCCAGAACCTTTTGGCAGGGTCAATTCCTGAGGTAACCGCTCAATTTTTGCGTTTAAATCATCTCAACCTCTCACATAATTCCCTTAGTAGCTCTTTACCAAAAGTGATAATGCAGTACCCGAAGCTTAGAGTCCTCGATCTCAGTTTCAACCAATTAGATGGACCTCTCGTCAATGACCTACTAAACTTGGCTACTTTGGAAGAACTTCATCTTGGGAATAATTTAATTTCTGGTGCTATTGAGTTCTCTCCTTCAAGTGAATCCAACCTCCATGTTCTTGATCTCTCTCACAATCGGCTTAATGGCTATTTTCCCAGCCAATATGGGTCATTGGCTGGACTTCAATTGCTCAATCTTGCAGGCAATAACTTATCTGGTTCCCTGCCATCTTCCATGGCTGACATGAAATCAATGAGCTCATTAGATATATCCCAGAATCATTTTACCGGATCTTTACCGAACAAGGTTCCTAACGGCCTTCAAAGCTTTAATGTTTCCTACAACGATCTCTCTGGAGTTGTCCCAGAAAATTTGAGGAAGTTCCCTACTTCATCGTTCTACCCTGGAAATGCTAAGTTGCATTTTCCGAGTGGTAATCCTGGATCAAATAATGCCCCTGGGGAACATTCTAGGAGGAAACCAATCAACACAATTGTCAAATGGGTGATTGTGGTGTCATGTGTGGTTGCTCTTATCATTCTCATCCTGCTTGCTATATTCCTACATTACATCTGTTTATCAAGGAGAACTCCACCAGAGCATGTTACAAGTAAAGATGTTCGAAAGCGAGCACCAACAAACCCTTCTAGCATTGCTGGTACGGAGAGTGGGGGTGCTTTGGTTGTTTCAGCGGAGGATCTTGTGTCTTCACGGAAAGGGTCATCTGACATCAGTCCCAGTGAGAAAACGGCAGCGGTGACTGGCTATTCTCCTTCAAAGGCCAGCCATTTATCTTGGTCACCAGAGTCTGGAGATTCATTTACTGCTGAACACCTTGCAAGACTGGATGTAAGATCGCCAGATCGATTGGTCGGTGAGCTGCATTTTCTTGATGATACAATCACATTGACACCTGAGGAGCTGTCAAGGGCTCCAGCAGAAGTTTTGGGAAGGAGCAGTCATGGGACTTCTTACAGGGCAACATTGGATAATGGAGTCTTCTTGACTGTGAAGTGGCTCAGAGAAGGGGTGGCAAAACAGAGAAAGGAATTTGCTAAGGAGGCTAAAAAATTTGCAAACATTAGGCATCCTAATGTAGTGGGTTTGAGAGGGTACTATTGGGGCCCCACCCAGCATGAGAAGCTGATTCTTTCAGATTATATCTCACCCGGAAGTCTTGCAAGTTTTCTTTATGGTAACTGTTGACTCTGTAGCTTTTCAATACATTATTTGCAGTTCTATTATTAGAAGAAAACTACTAATAAAAAAAACATAGAGAGAGGGGGTAGAGGGGCCAATGGTGGAAATCTTATTATTTGAACTAACTCTTGTTTCACTATCATTGTTAAATGAGGTTACATTCATATGCTTGCCCTCTTTCTCCTTTCAGTGTAGTACCTCTTTGGGAAGGTTTCAGTTTAAATTCCAGATCCATATATAGACGTTTCATTACTCCTACTAGAAAATAGAGGGGACTTGGTCCTAAGCTTGGGTAAAAGACAGGTGTGGGAACACCATTATTTTGCAAAATCAAATGCTTTAGATTGCTAGTAGGCTAGCCCAAAATATAGCTGCTTTACTACTTACATAGTTGCTATAGTTTTATACCGGACATGCTGATTTATTTTTATGATTTGGTTTGCAGGTTATATTTACTATAAGCAAGTATATTTTTAGTAATAAAAACAAAATCGTTAAACCAATTAGCTGTGAGCTTTATTCTTTTCTGGGCCATATATCAGGAGCTCCATCTTTTTGTTATCCATTTACTTTTGTTGAAAATGCAAATGTGTTTGCTTGCATGTTTGCATTGCAGTCTGTTTCATTGATGAATAGCTGTTGGCATGGTTGAGTTAATGTTCTGTGAATTAGTATTGTTCTTATGTAAATTCTTTTTCTTTTATATTCTATTATCTTAACAAGCTTCTGCATGGGTAGACAAGTTGTTCCACTCTCCTTCACCTCCATTTCTCTTTCTTTCATAGATGATTTTCCATTAAGGAATAAATTATATATGATATGATATGATATAATCTCTCATGCTTCCCTATTTGATACTCCTTTCCTAGCTTTCATGAAAATTAGGTTTTAATCATGTCATTTTTTCATGTTTTAATAAAAATTTTGTATGTAAAAAGGGCAGAAATAATATATTTGTATTCAGAATATACACATCTAGGTATGAGACATTACTAATGATCTAATCTGATATTTTCAGATCGACCAGGAAGGAAAGGCCCACCCTTATCCTGGGCACAGAGGCTGAAAATAGCTGTTGATGTTGCACGTGGCCTGAACTATCTCCATTTTGACCGTGCTGTTCCACATGGTAACCTGAAGGCAACAAACGTACTATTAGATGGGCCTGATCTTAATGCACGTATTGCAGATTACTGCCTACACCGCCTCATGACACAAGCTGGTACTGTGGAACAAATCCTGGATGCCGGGCTCCTGGGGTACCGTGCCCCAGAGTTGGCTGACACCAAGAAACCACTGCTTTCCTTTAAGTCAGATGTGTATGCCTTTGGTGTGATTCTGTTGGAACTTCTAACAGGTAAATGTGCTGGTGATGTAATTCCTGGGGAAGAGGAAGGGATAGATTTGACAGAATGGGTGCGGTTGAGGGTGGCACAAGGCTGCGGCACAGATTGTTTTGATTCTGCCTTGGCCCAAGAGATGGGGAATCCAGCTGCTGAGAAGGGGATGAAGGAGGTCCTTGGAATAGCATTAAGATGCGTACGATCTGTTTCTGAGAGGCCAGGCATCAAGACTATATATGAAGATCTTTCTTCTATATAATCCATTTTTTGTTCTTGTATCTCATATAGCTAGGTTTAAATATTCAGGGCATCTAATCTCTCATTGGCCTCCCTTTCCCCTTTGAGTCTTTTCTTTTGGCATATTGAACAGCTGATTTCCATTCAAAATTTGTTGTAAAAATGAAGGAACATTATGAATGGATAGAAAAGTTTCAACTGATTGTTGGTTCTATGATGATTTATAATGTTTCATAGTGGCCTTATATAAGGGTTTGGATGAAGTATTAAGTTCTATGAAGAACCTTTTTCTTATCACCTGACACTAGTGTCTTTGAGGCAAGTTTTGGTTTGTACCATCACTAGTAGCTGTTAGGCCTGTTGCTTTCAGCTTGAATTTCTGGACATTACCAATGGGTGGCAGCTGCATTTCTTCAGGAAACAAAGGAAAAAAAAGGTGGCAATGTGTTTTTGGGAATTGTTGCAGTATGCTTTGCTTTGGGCTAAAGTTCTAACCGAATAGGTTTGGCTGGTTGCCTTTGGTTCAAAACCTTTTTTATGCATGTTTTTTCATTGACATTAAACAATCACATTTATTTACCAACTCATGACAATTGTCATTACCATCATCTTGTTTTTAATTTTTTAATTAAATTAAAATTTTAAATAAGAAAAGAATAGAGATTTCCATTCAATTGTGGCACAAAGAACCTCCCTTCAAGACTGGGTCTTGGACTTGAGACTTTTAGAACTGATGAATAATATAGAGGAGCAAAGGAAGCCCTTGGAAATTACTGCATTTTCAGTTCTATGGTCAAAATGAGGGAGATCAATATACAATACACAAAAAATGGCACAAAGTTTGCAACATCAATCAATGTATGTCAAGCCTTCAAAAGACTTGGCTTTCTGCAAATTTATAAGTTATACTAATTTAAGTGATGATGCATAAAAGCAAAGGCTATAAGTTTCTACAAACTCATAAAAGGTATTGAACTTTGGAAAATATAGTTTCATCCTACCCCTATGCCATAAGGGATGATAAAGCTCATAAATCAAAATAATAGATGCATAACCAACAGCACACTCACTTTAAGTACTCTCTCTTTGGGTTGTGAGAAGTCGTATGCCTTACTTCTTCCCTCCTCCAGAAACATTAAACTTGAAAAATATTATGTCTCCGTCTAGAACCACGTAAGTTTTCCCCTCCTGTCGATATTTTCCAGCAGCCTGAGCAAAGGGAAAATAATGCGAAAAAATGTCATGCAACTTAAAAGGCAGGAATCTAGTAACATTTCACTAGTTAAATGACAACAGAGGAACTCGTATATGAACCACAGAGCAGCCATAGCTTAAGAAGTCAAGATGCAACGAGCTACTCCACCAGGCCAGGGCTGTGGCTTAAGCACAATGCAGCACCTCATACCTCAATTTAAATCCTAAAAGTAGTCATTAATCTTTCATCACATGTTCTTGGCAAGTTATTTATTCCCTTGAAAAGTTAGTTACCACTCCGTAATTCTAAACCTTCAACAGACAATTGGGTACTAAAGTAAGGAAAAGCTATGTAAAAATTGTTCATGCTTATAATAACCTTAACAGCCGACTCACTGCCAAGCTCCTTCAGATCTTCAAATTTCATGACCTGGACACAATCGAGAAATCGAAGTCACTAAACAGAAATTTGACATGTACATGTTACTGTAAAAGCTACTGAAAAATAAAAAACAAATACATTGGAAAAAGAACATTTGATGTGAACAGCAATGATTCAATCCAGATATAGAACACATTCTCAGTGGCTAAAATCTAGTGGCTGAGAATGATGGTGAAAACAGTAAATAAGTAATGTTGCTAACAGAAGGCCCCCTTTGTTTTTTTGAACAGAGGCTGGAGAGTATGATGGTGACAACAGTATGGTGGCAATGCCATGGAAAAAATCGCCAAAATACTGGAAATATTGCCTGCAGAAGGCTGCTTTTGTTTAAATAAAGGTAGCTAGAGATTACATAACATTAAAAGCAGAGAAGCTGCCTATGGTAGCTTCTGAACTGCAAACCAAAGAAAGAGGGCTGGTTTTGGCATGGGCAGCAGCAAACAACAGGTGACAGCAATGAAAGGAGAGTACCATGAGAATGATTTTTCTTAGCAGTGAAATCAAGGAAAACATATTTATTGGGACAAATGCAATAAAAGAAGAAACACTAAATAGTAAATTTTGCATTGTTTTAATTACATCTTTCCATAATATTTAAGTCCAAAAGGGAACAGGACACATTGTGGCTTCAATTAGAGCAACAACAGCTTATAAGGCAGAAGCTTCAATATTAGAATTTAATCAGTATAACTGCAATTAATAAATTCTGAGCAGGTAAAAGAAATTGAGTGTGAGAAAGGGAAAAAAACAGCTTCAGCTTAGAAATTTGAAAAGCATAATGATTATCATAGTTCATCACAGAGGATAATGCTAGAGCAAAGTTTAAAATTTTCTTTCAAGGAATTGATATAAAGAGACAGAAAGTCATGAATAAAGAACAACCTCAGCACAAATAAATCCTCTCTCAAAATCAGTATGAATGGCTCCTGCAGCTTGAGGAGCTTTTGTCTGCCGTCTAATTTGCCAGCATTTCACCTGGAAAAGAAGAAAGCAAATCATTTTATTTTACAGCCATCATTTGATTAAAGCAAACACAAATAAGCTACACTGAAACAAAATCTCCAAGAAGTGATCCAGTTTAGAGGAGAGCTTCAAAACTTGCAACTGAATGGACCTTGAGGGAATTCAAAACCTGAGGATGGTCACTTAGATTACAACATTGCAATACCAGTCGCTATGTGATATACCGCATTATCATTGTTGCTGCTAAGAATTCTAAAGACATGATCTTGATGTTGAGATAGCGAGCTTGTTAAAAAGTTTGTCACCTAACTGACAAGTCTAGATAAAAACATAGTATAAGGTAAAAACAAAGGTCTACAAAATCAATATAATGATCTTAGATTATTTTAAGAGCATTAATACTCTTCAGATCCTTCACACAACTTGTTAATATATAAGTAAGAACCAAGCATTCCCATAAAAAATATAAAAATCAAGCATTAGATACCTCATCAGTGCCTGCTGTGAAAAAGTATATGAGATTAATTGCCGAGAAGCCAGTCTTGATGATCTTCGGAAGAGCACTGTAACATTGGAAAGATTGCTCAGCATCATACAGACCCATGAAAAAATAAGAAAAAAGACAATTCAAACATCAGAGCACTGAAAGACTATCTAACCATGAGACTAGGACTTCTCGAATTAAAAGCATTCTTAACCATCATAATAAGAGACATATTCAGTTTCAACTAACCTTTGTACCTTGTTTTCCTCACAATACTTTGCTGCTTCTTCAGGTTCCATATCAACAAGGTTTCTCTCAAACACACCACTAAAAGGAATGATTGGGTCACCACCATGTTCTTGCACCCTACAAAGATAAAATAATTCTCATTCCAGTTGAGTAAAATCAAACCTAGATAAAATTTTTCCAAGTATGATAAATCTAAGAAGGATAATTTTTCCAGTTGAGCAAATGAACCTCTAATATGCCCACACACTAAGAGAGAGAGCATACCAAGCATGAATCTTCGGCAAGAACTTGTTCTTTTTTCTTTGGTAATCTTTCTCAGTCATGTTAACCTGCAGATAGGATACAGTAATATCATAATTAAAATCTCTAGCCACATTCTTGAAACCATGAAAGGTAAAAGACACTGCTTTCTCTAAAAACTTTACATCATCAGATGTAACACATCTGAAGCTCCCATATATTTGAACAAGCTGTAATGTAATACACATTTATTAATCGGCAATTTTCTGTCAGTTTTTTTGTTCAAAAATATAATCAAGAAGAAATTGCAAAAAGAAGTTCAAGAAGCTAAAAATAAAGCCAAAACAAGCTCAGAACACTTCATTAAAAATCTATAGTAAGTATGCAAGACTTATATCTATTACCCCACAATAGCCACCTGCTTTAATGCAAACTTGTTTATTTGCAGTTTGATTCATTCTCATAAATATGACCACACTTTTTAAAATTCACAACATAAGAAAGCCCTTGCTGAGACTCAAGCACTTATCCCAGCATGTCTAAATTGCATCTCAGCATTCAGGAAACAAGTGCCATGATCGATAAGTAATATTCGATCATCACTTCCAGAAACACAATCAGGCGAATATGACTATGTTTTTCCAACAAGAAAATAATGATTTCAAAAGCATATTAAACCGGATACAATATATGTCTATCCTTTCAGTAGTTAATCTCCTATGTTGCTCAAACTTGGGGGTCTTTATTGGACATGGGCCTGTGTCCGACATGGATGCATATTTTTTTATATTTTTCCTTATCTTTGGAAACTCAAGACCACATACCAATCTCCATGTTGAGGTGTAGGATATGTTATATATAGATCATAAGTGCAGCATACAACAAAAACTGTTGATGGCATAAAAGATAGATTTAGCACAAACAATCACACCTTACCTAACAGACAATGAGAAAGGATTGCACAAAATAACAATAAAAAAAAAAGAAAAAGAAAAAGAAAAGGAATAGGAATAGTAAAGTAAAAAAGAACATCAGGCTCACCAAATAAACAACGGGCTTGGCACTAAGCAATTGAAAAGTATTTAGTATCTCAATATCAGCCGCTTTCCAGTCCCCTAGACGAATATCCTTTCCATCTTCAACCCATGACTTGACCTGTGATATAACAAGCATCATTATTTTTTGGTATTAGCATATGCCACCATAAACATTTAGATTTATAACATAAGCTCATGAAATTGAACCAGATAATTTGATAAAAATGCATGCTTGACTGCGATAAGAGAGTATCTGGTGGATTATTGGAATAAAAAGACAAGTTTGAAGCTAACTTCATTCTTAAACTGAAAGCTAGAAAGGTTTCCATCAACTCAGACCACATGCTTCTAAGCCTACAACCTCTGAAATTATACTATGAAGCACATATACAAAAGATATTTAGTCATTTAAATACTGCCACATGCAATGATAAAAAGACAATAACATAATACACACTTAAAGAGAAAAAAAGTTGTACAAGGAAGTAGCAAAAGCAGTCACACAGATACAACTAAACTATTGAATCATCTATGAGAAACTTACCACTTAAACACAATTTAACTCCTATGTTGTTTATTATACGTACCACATTCCTATTTACGACTCAATGTTTTTATCTTTTTATTTTTTTAAAGCAAAAAGAAGAAAGGACCAACCTAAATCTGATCCAGAAGTCAAATTAGCTCACTCAATCCTAAGAGTGGTCTGAATGAAAGTTAAAAATGATCAGAAAACATTCAAAATAGACGAGTCATAATATCAAAGCATCACTATTAATACAGAACAGAAGTGGGTCTCCTACATTTTGTACAAACAATACTGACTAAAGTCAGTGCACAAGAAAAAAAAATCAATGCTACAAACTAAGGGCTGCCACCTAGGAGAATCATGTTGTTACGGTCCCTAGAAACGTATCGAATTATGGGATGGTGTGTGGAAGGGTTGGGTTTAGTTTGAGGTACGCTGGGTACTTGGGTGGAAGGTTTCCTTTTTCGACCTATGTTTGTAATGCTGGCTCGTTAGAGAGAACCTGCAGTTCTCTTGAGTTTTAAGTACTCAAAACTTGAATAGATTCTGAACAAAACCTTTTTATTAACTTCACTGTCTTTTTAAAAACAGCTTGGTGGAATAACCACCCTTAAAGCAAGAAAATAAAGTGGAAAGATGGAGACAACCTCCAACAACTTGAGATGGAAAACTACCACTAGCAATAAAATAGGAGCAACAATGAAACTGTTAACAATAAACTGCCACCAATTAATCAGACACGTTGAGTTAGTCTATACTTCCCATGTGTGAATCGCTTGTAAGCTAAGGGATTATCTGATATGCTGACACATGTCTCCTCCCTCCATAACACATTAGCAACATCAACAGAAAAGAACCAATACAAGGAAATTTGAGGGAGATAAGATGACACATGCAGCCAAAAGAAAGGATTGCATGTCCAAAACCATACCTTTTGACACAACTCAAGCTCTATTTTTAACTGCTTGTCATTACTCCTCTTCATGCTCTTTTCAAGATCCTCTATCTTCTTTTCAATAAATTCAACATCCTATGGAAATAAAGTTTAGAATAAGTACTCAGCATATAAAGATCCTGCTAGGTTCATTAATATTGAGTAAAAGTACAAAAAACTATCAAGGAAATAAGGAATTCATGTTGAACCAAAGACAGGATCACATTTGTAACAATAATACAAAGTGCATACCAAAACTTTGTAACTAACTTTCCGCAATTCTTAAAACCCGCATCAAAATAATGTGTGAGAAGATGAACGTCCTTAATTTTAAGAAGAAACCAACACAATCAAAGGCACACAGGAAGTGCAAGCACTAAAGTACATGTATGTACATATTAATCTTTTTAATTCCAATTTTAACTTCAAGCTTATGAAATACATTGCTTAATCTTTCTTTTTGTGGTGAACAAAACAATCAAAGCACAGCAAGGCAATTGTTAAACTGTTAAACACCTCCAACAGCTTTCTGATGTGACTTGACAACAGTACATCCAATAGTGGTCCTCACTCTCCCCTATTGTACTTAATTACCAGTCCTGTAGAGACAAACTAAAAGTTGGTTTCCATGTGCTTACAATTTAAGAGCAAAAAACAGTTTTATAGCATGAGACATCATACAAAATTTCATACAAGTTGATGAGGTCACTGAATCCAACATTGTGGACAATTGGACGTTTGCCAAAGGTCATGTGCCAGGTCTGAAATTTTATTGACAACACCTAAAGATACATATTTTTAAGCTAGAACTCTCAGCCAAGAATAAGATGCATTTTATCACCTGAACTAGAAAAGTTTAAAAAAGGCAACAAAGAATAATGTTCATCATCATCAATTGATATTTATTTAATATTTTTTTTCCCATTTCCCTCTTGTTCTCTTGCATGTTTCAAAAAGCACAAAGGTACGACACGCACAATTTCTTTTTTTTTTTTTGGGCTTAAATGCCAAAGCTTTGGGACAACATTTCACCCACCAATATTTTCCTACTTTTTTTTCTCTTTTTTCTATTATTTATTTAATTGACATGTCACCAATACACATGAGAAGAATTTGATAAGTTGGGCTGCCTCTTAAGCATTCCGTTAAGAATTAACGGATGATGACTACGAATTGAAACAAGCCATTAAGAAGTAACTGAACATATACAACTTTAACAAACTTAAGTGACTAATAGAATAGTTTACCCTTGATGTTATATAAGTTGAACTACTCTTCCGTAAGTACTCTATTACATAAGTCAAACTAACTTTATTAAACCTCCAAGGGTCTCTAGAACTGAGTTGAATTTAGAAGTCAAACGAAGTTCAACTCTAATGTAAGTACAAAACATCAATTTCTTTCACAGACAAGAAATGAACAAAACTTACAGAGGCATAAGTAAGGTGCAAGATATAACCAAGTGGTCCCAAACAAAAAAAGATAGAAAATTAATTTCTAAAATCTAGTTAATCTGATAGTCAAACATTGATCCCTGCCATTATTGCAGCCTTTTACAAAGACGCTTGATAACTCAGAATCTAATATATGACAATAAAATGAAAAGAGTTTCACATATTGATTGATTACAGGTGAGGCCAAGGTATAGCCTAGAATCAAGCTACAGGGCTCTGCCACTAGGCCTAAAACTAACTCAACCTGTGCCAAGCATGTGCATGTGTATCAAAGCAATGTTCGAATTCCAATGTCTACATCCAATGATATCCCATGAAAAACAAGCCAGTGTAGCATTTGGATTCTGTTGCAGAAATCAGAGCTCCAAATACCAATTGCAAGTACGTTAAAATTCAATAATTTCACAAACCTTTAATCGTAATTCTGCACTAATAGTCTCTAAATCTCTCACAGGATCCACAGAATCATCAACATGGATGATGTCTGAATCTTCAAATGCACCTGTTACGATTAAGTATAAAAAAAATGATTACCAAAAAAATACTTTTATATCAAAGGAAAAAAATATCAACTATCAAATAAAAATGGTCTTATAAACCTCGAACTGATTAGTAAAGCTACCAACACAATTTTTTTTTATAACTTCTCATAAGCCTTTTCCATAAAATGCACATGGAAACTTTCTTGGCTCCTAAGAGCAGAAATTGCCAAACTAACCTAATTCACAACGTACTGAATGATCTATCAATCCTTCAGCAGAAGTTAGAACAACATGACTGACGATAGCATAGCTACACAATACCAAATGCAATTATTCTTTTACATTCTCAAACTTTATTCATCAAAATGGTTTTGCAAAGTAGATTAAATTAGAACAGCACTACTCACAAGACAACAACTGAAAAGCAAAATTAATACCATTCAACAAACTATGCAAAGACTTAAAATTTTTTGTTGCATCATATTAAGCCAACACCAGAATTATATTAACATAAAATAGAGAAATTTCCAGCCCGAAAGCCTAGGCATCTTACGCAAAACATGAAAAATGCCATCAACTGCACGGATGTGAGACAAGAAGCTGTTGCCCAACCCTTGCCCTTGGTGGGCACCTCTAACCAGTCCAGCTATATCATGAATTTCTAAGAAAGCTGCAACCTATGCATCAAAAGAGCTCAAACAAGTTAAAAAAGAGGACTTACAATTTAAAGTGTGCATTTTCTGCAATAAAAAAATGACACTTATTATAACAGATACAATGATAGTATCTAGATTATCCAACCAGAACGAATAGCCGCATGCTACATCTTTTGCAATTCACAGTGACTTAAATGATCAAGCCAAAGTAAAGCATGCATCTAGATATTAGAAATAGTAATATTACTATTACGCTATCATCCCTGTCATCTATAAATGGCATGCATCATAGTAGTTATGCAAAGACAGCCAGAACAGAAAATAACTGCATACCTCATTTTTGGGTTTGTACAATTGGCACAGCCATTCGAAGCGCTCGTCGGGGACATTAACTCGGGCTTCATTAGGCTCGATGGTACAAAAGGGGAAGTTCTCAGCAGGAATAGAAAGCTTTGTGAGGGTGTTGAAAAGGGTAGACTTGCCCACATTTGGCAATCCTACCTGCAAATCAATAAGCAATTCAGCTCACAAAACCCAAAAAAAAAAAGCCAAATTAAATGGGAAAAAGAAGGAGAAGAAAGCTACGATTCCGATCTTGAGGTGAGAAGAGAACCGGCCAAGGATGGGCCTCTCGGCTGGTGCTTCCTTGGATTTAGCTGCTTTCGGAGGCATCGCTTGGAGTTGGAAGTAGCTTCGAGGTCTAGGGTTTTGCACACAGCTGTGAGAAGTAGCGGAGTGGAGTGCTGAGGCGGGTTTTTGGTTTTGGTGTTGGGGAAAGAGGGTTAGATACAGTTGGAAATCTCTTTTATACCCAACGGTTCCAACCCTAGCACTCGACGCTCGCGTCGCGTTGCGGCCACAACGCACGCCCGCTTTTGTGGGTAATACTTTAGGTGGAATTTTTAACCAATTTGTAGTATTTGCAAATAAAAAAATATAGATATGTATAGTTCCTAATGAATTATTATTCAAGATGGAAATATATTCTTACAGGTACATCAAGTAGGGCTTGGATTGAGTCACTTCATATCAAGGGGGAAAACTTTCACAAATTGGATTAAAATTCGATTTTTAGAGTTCGATGTATAAAATAATAATTTATTTATAATTACCATCCGTAAAATTTCAAGTCATAATTTTTATTTAATTATTTGAAATCAAATCATTTCAAATCAAAAAAAAATCAAAAATTGAATTAAAGTTTGATTTTTAAAATTTGATGTATAAAATAATAATCCACCAATAGTTAGTATTCGTAAAATTTCAAGTTATGATTTTTATTTAATCACTTGGAATCGGATCATTTCAAGTCAAAAAAAAATTCAAAAATTGAATTAAAGTTCGATTTTTGCAACTCAATGCATAAAAAAATAATCCATTTATACTTAATATTCGTAAAATTTTAAATCATAAGTGTCATTTAATCACTTGAAATCGAATCATTTCAAGTTGAAAAATTTTTCAAAAATTAGATTAGAGTTCATTTAACGAAGTTCGATGTATAGAATAATAGTTCATTTATAATTAATACTTGCAAAATTTCAAAGTCACATATTTCCTATGATTACCCAAATCATAATCATAAACTGTTTATAGATCCAAATATTTTACTAATATTTTTTATTAGTTACTTTTGTTCAAAATTGAATGAAAATAAACATACAAGCTCAACATAATTGAAATATAATGACAAAATTTGTTATTAGCCTATATATTGTGAAAATTTTGGTATTTATATTCTTAAGAGAATAAAAAATTGATAATCATAATCAAACAAAAATCCATAGGATTGAAACCATATGCAGTGAAAAGTACATAGGGAGAGATTACTTTCAGGTTAGGTAGACACACATTGGAGTTCTTATCATATTGTATTTCAATCTCAATGTCTCATTCAATAAATCAGGAATATTCATGTGCAAGTGAGGGGAGAACAAAATTCCAAAACAAAGAGTGAACAGGAAATAATTTAAAGACATTGAATAAAATGGTGGGTTCATACATTACATCATCCTCAAGAGGAACACAAGAAGAAACAAATATATCAAAATCTACACAAGCAATTACAAAGAGCAGTAGCAAATCAACATCAACATATACTTACTATATAACCATGTAGTGGGCCTCCCTTTCATGCCGACACATAGAAGTCTTATTAATTCTTCTTCCTTTGACAAGGGCAGTATAACAACAAGGTTGGCTAACTAATAGAATACACAAAGCTCAAGAAGATTCAATCTTGGGAGCAATGGTTGGGTTGAATGCAACCTGCTCAGCACAAGTTAGCCCGTCATGTGGCCCTGCCTCCTCTCGCCCTATGCCCATTAGGTCAAGGTAAAACAGGTAGTGGGAGATAATGGTGTTCATGGGATCGATATCACCCTTCCCACAAACATAATCTCCATAAAGAACGTTCATGGTGGTGCCAAAAGTGGTACCCCGCTTGGCCAAAGTGTCATTCTTAGTTGGTTTCCAGTTGCCTACAAAGATGTCATGCGCTGAGGGTTGTTTCTTCTTGGTTGGGGTTATCCACCTCCAAATGGCAGCCTGGAAGGCAAGAGTAGCATTCTGCTCTATGTACTCAGGGTGGTTCAACAGATCCACTTTCAAAGCTTCCCCAACAGCTCCATAGTTGTAGTTCCTATGATCAAAAAGCCATCAAAAACATGCAGAGCTATATATCATCTCCAAGACCTAGGGCAGAAAACTCTGAAGGGAACAGGGCCAAATGCATACAGTCTACAGAAAATATAATATTTGAAATGCCAAATGAACATATCAGGGCCCTACATCCTTTTTGTGATCAATTGATTAATTGAAATTGGGGATATGAGGGCCCAAGAGGGGTCAAACAGGAGGGTGTTGATCAAAGTGCATTTGAGTAGATTAACGTTGAAAAACATAATATTTACTCAAAGATGCAACAACAGCACACTCAATCAGATGAAACACAAACAGACATGCCAACCCAATACATTGAACAGAATACCAGCTCTGGATCCCTTTATCCCCCTCTCTTATTTGGAATGCATCCCACTTTTTATTGTTTGGCAATCAATCATTGAACTTTATAAAACAATTAAATTGAACTTTTTCTTGAAGAGAGCATGTATACCTTCTTATTTATCTTTTTTGCCCATCAAGATTGGATGCCTAGGTACAATGAACTTTGTAAGACATTGCCAAGACATGCCTATCTATTTTTGTATTAGGCACATGACATACAAGCACATGAAGTAACTACAAGTTATAGCCAATATGTGTCCCAAGAAAATTGCAGATAAATATCAAGGGGTTCAGTAGTGAAACAGCAAAAATATATTTCATGCTAACAGCAAAAAGTGAAAAGGCAGTATACAGGATAAGAATAAACCAAATAGTTTTCACACCCCTACAAATCATTTAATCAGAATAGCTGCTTGAACAGACAATTTAAAACTTAATCAACCACAAACAAGACAAAATCCTCTTAAGTCATAAAATAGTGTTGATATTAACAAATAGATGATTTAGTGCAGATGGAAAAAGTTGAATAACTGTTTTAATCATAACTACTGTACATACCAGTAAATTGGCAAGGCACCACGGCCATAGTATTGAGCTCCAGGAGCACAGGGATACACGTACTTGTAGGATTCATCACAGTAATCCTGGCTAGGGCTCATTTCTTTACTGTAGCAAAGCCCCCAAGCCAACGGTCCTCCTGTTGCCACTCCATATCCACCTGAAATCATTAACCACCATTTAAACTCTGAAGCGTGAACTACAGCTCAACTAACAATTAAAAATTATCCTAACATTCAAAATAAACACTCATCGGGCGTGCTTAACCAATGGTTTCTTACATTTTATCCAAAATTTAAAAAACAAAGGTTTAGAAAATGAAAAAACTTCAACATACATACTGCACTATCAAACCTAGAAAGATTGAATCAAACAGGAGATAACAAAATCGATAATGCTACATCTTTATTACTGCTAATATATCTGACTCTTTAGTCCTATTCAACTTAATTTATCTAACACCGACATACAGATCCGAACTTAGCTGATTTGGACCAGAATGCACAGCACCAATCAAACCCAGTATCCATTTAAAACCTTGAGACTTTCAATTTCAAACAAAACACTCATAATCATAGGCATAAATTTATAAACTTGGAACAATCGGGGATCTTACTAAATAAGCAGTCAACTTGGAAATGCATCGAAATTAATACTACTACTAAAAAAAACTCACAAGATGTCTTGGCGCCGACATGGCCAAGAAAAGCAGCGATCTCCTTCATTTGCATAAGCTTACCACCGGTTGTCCCGAAACCCAGATGCTCAAAGTCGGCAGCAGCCAAAATGAAAGACTGGTAATCCCAAAATCCCACGGCGTGAGCCACAGGCGAATTCCTCTTGGAAAACAAGTTCTCAAATTGATAAACCTCGAAGACATCGGAAATGGTCTGGTTGCAACAATAAACCGACCAAACATTACATTCCCATCCCTGTAAACACACTTTCTTACCCTTCACAGTCTTCACTCGAATCTTCTTCTCCCCATCTGCGTTTCCCGTCGCAGCAAGATTTGCAACCAAAGCCACTGTGAGAATCAAGGCAATGGCCCTGTTGAAGTCAGCCATTGATGCCCCAGAAGGATTGCTTTCAAACCCTTTTTTTTCTTCTTCTACTTTGCTGATTTTTGTTCGGCTGGGAGGGCAAATGGAGGAGGAGTTTGTTTAAGAGGGAGGAGGAAATGAAAGAGAAAGGTGTTAGATCGAGGGTCCTTTTCGAGGCCGTCTAAACCAGAGGTGTGAAGTGTGCTTATATGGCGAACATGTTTGGGATGATCCAACGATGGATGAGCGATTGAGAGGGGAGTAGGTGTTCGACGTTTAAGCAAAACCAGGCTGGATCTTGGAGGAAAGAAGCTAATGAAGAGTGTCCCCACCAAATGTTCCACCGACAACCGCGGGAATAATAAAAAGGTTTCTGTCTGAGTTTTAACTACTTGACTACGCTTTACTTCTCACCCCAAACAATACGTTACCGTTACCGTCACGCCTCCCACCAGAGCCTAACACCTCAAGCTTCTGCTGTTAAGGTTACTGTCGTGAAATTGATTATGTTAACCGGACCTTGAGCCATGCTGACAAGACGTTCACTAATCTATGTGAAATTTTTGAGAATTTTAATTCAGATCTTTAATTTGTTCCTATGTTATGTTAATTTTATTTTATTTTTTTTTATTAAAATATTAGATATAACATTTTTAATATAATTCATATAAATCGAATTCTTATAATTTTAAAATTTATTAATATAAGTATTATAAATCATGTCACAAAATTTTATTTGTTAAAGTTGTTAATCTAACATTAACATTAATCATTCTGATTTAACATTGATTCTATCGATTTGGAATTTTCAAAAATTTTAAAAATTCAAAAATATGAAGTGATTTTTTAGATGGTAGGTGATATTTAATTACCCCCCAAATGATTAAAAAAATTAAAAAGCTTAAGATAACTTAAAAAAATAAAATAAATTTTTATTTATCTTTTACATGAAATTAAATTTTTTATTTTTATTTAGATCAAATAAATTTTTTTATTAATTATTCTTTGTCAATTTATGCACTAACTTATGTTGATATGAAAGATGAATCATGTTACATAAGCATCTAATTAAATCATATTATTATCTCTTGTTAGCATGTCACATGACATAAAGTGATAAATAATATTTTTATTAAGTTAATTATTAATTACAATGATTTATTTGACTTAAGATAAAAGTAAAATAGTTTATTTTGCTCATAATAAAAATATAAGAACTTTATTTAACATAATAAAAAATAATGACTTGTTTGAATTTTTTTAAATAGTTAATAAATTTTTTAAAATATTATACCTTAAAAATTTTAATTAAGATAGAAAATAACTAAATTTTATGTGAAGTAAAAAGAAAATTGAAGGATAATGAAGCAAAGTGAAACTTAAATCAAAATTAAAAAAGATTCTAATTGGTTAGACCAATAATGTATAGATAACTTTTTTTAACTTTTATTTGGTTGTTGCTATTTATAATGTTGTTGGTTAATGCCACATCAACAAATTTTATCAGAAAAACTCGAAGATGTCAACAATTGAATTAATGTTTATAAATTTTAAAAGTATAAAAACTCTATTTATACGAATTATAGTAAAAAAATTATAATCTCACATTTTTATAAAGTAAAAGGAATTAAATTTATTATTTTTATAAAGTATAGGAACTTAATTAAAAATTTAACATTAACCATTTTTGAAAATATAAAGATTCGATTAATATCAATTATTATAGGGGAATTTAATCTAATATTTTAATAGAGTACATGAATTATATTGGTAATTTGTCCGAATATAATTTATCTTTTCTTTTTCTATTTTTTTCAATATTGTCTTTATACAATACAAGAGAAAGAGCCCACAACAAAATTAATCAAAGGTTTTTTATCTCAAAGAATTAAAAAAAAAGAACTTATGATTATTATCTCATGAATAGACTTATGTCATAGACATGTCTTTATATCTCTTGTATTAAATTCATCACATTGATAATTAACTATCACATTTAATACATAATTAATATTATAAATAAAAATTTAACTACCCTTAAATAGTGCTTTTAGAGCATTCGTTAACTTTTTATTCATAACTAAATAAATATATAATTTTATGGTCAGTGTGTAAGATAATATTTTATAATTATTAATTATGGACTTATTTTTCTATAAATGGCATAAGGTTATCGGCCTTACTCTTTTATATTTTCTTGGATTGTAAATTACACGTGTCAAATTCCTATTCGATGAATACGGGACCGAAGATTTCATAAAAGTCAGCAATTCCGATTCAATTCATCCTCGAGGCAAATAGAAGGGGTTCTTGAGAGATAGAAAGGGGAGCAGCGAAACTTTTAAAGGTTTGTAATTGCAATTTTTAATTTTAATTTTAATTTTACGTTTCTTCTCTATCATTATGAATTCACAAAATTAAATTAAGAAAAAAAAAGAATTTAAAATTTGATTGTTTGCAAATATCTTGAATTAGTTGAAGACATGGAATGTTTTAGTTTCACTGAATTTGGGCGTTGATATGGAATGCAGGTGATTTTATACGTTTGTACAAGGTTTTCTCTTACAGTTCTGTTTTGCTACCAAAGGTAATTTTTGCTTTTAATTTCATTGGGTTTCATTGATATTATTATTATTATTATTATTAATTTTTAATTAACTTTTAGATTTTCAGATAGGCAAAGTTAAAATTTAAATTTGGCTGGATAGTGTGAGAAAAGTTAAGCTTCTTTGTTTTTTGTTCCTTCTAATGGCTTTGTTTTACTAATCTTAGTTGATTTTATACTTTTTGTTAATGGTATTCTGATTATTGAATATAACAATGATTTGTTTATTTAAATGATTAATTTTATAATTTTTTTGTGGTATGTCTTATGATTAGAAAGGGTGTTAGTTGAGTTGATATGGTAGCAATAATTAAGCATTTTTTTTTAAAATTTTCTTGATTGTATCTTGGAGCTGTATTTGATCTGCTGTCTTATGGTTTTCAGTTTTTCCCTCAAGTCTTTGGAGGAGAGGACGGGATCTGCTGGTCCAGTTCGGGCTGGCTTTGTTAATTTAAAAACGGCTCTAAGCAGAGAAACTTGTGCCAAGATTAGAAGGGGCAGAGAATGTATGCCGGCATTTCCTAAATTCTTGATTGCTTCCCCTTCATTTCACGGTGGTCGTGGTGCCCTACCTTCAGCTGGTGGGCATCCCGCAGATCTTACTTTCCTTGCTGGTGGTGGCTGCTGATAAAAGCATCTGTGGAGGGTTTTGGAGCAAGTTGTGAGTGGAGCTACAGTATTTTGTTGTTGTTTTAGGAATACATTTTATAAGGATGGTTACGATGAAATGGCTTGAAGATAATAGCTTTCCAGCGAAGAATGGAAAGTGTGAGCAGTTAATACATTCTCACTCCTTTCTTCAAGGTTAGTAATTTTTTTGTTTTTGTTTTGTTCAGTGTTCCTCTATTGAATTAGAATGCATTCTTTTCCATATAAATGGTGCATAGTTAGATGTTATAGCTATGTAAATTAAGTTTTACTGAGGATATGCTGAAAGGTGAGTAGTGTATTGGACTCATAATGTATCATTTTTTTCTTTCCTTCAAATGTGTGTTTGAAAACCCTGAAGAAATATTTACAGATACAAATTTCCCTATGTACTGCTTCGGTAGCCAATCTATTGAGGAAGACAATTCATTTGAAGGTCTTTCATGCATTGCTGAGGAAGAGCAAAGTATTTTGGATGCTGTTCTGCTATCTCAGGTATGGAACAAATCTGGAATATATTTGTTGAAGTCTATTTATCATCTTTAGCCATCTTTCCTGTTATTTGGCAGTGGGAAGATCGGATGCGGAAAGGTTGTTTTAGATATGATGTGACAGCCTCAGAAATAAAGGTACCTGATAAAGTAGTATTCTCCTAGTTCTGAAAATTCTTGCATTTTTCTTTCTTCCTCTTTTATTTTTTGAGTATAAAATTGGGATTATGGTAAAGATACATATCATCTGTGATGGATTATGTAGGTCATTGCTGGAAAGATGAAGTTTCTTTCTCAGTTGAATGAAGGACAGATAACAGGTCATCTGTCAAAACCTGAGGGCAATAGACTTCGTGAATGGGACCCTTTTGTATTTGACTGCATGAGACAGCCAGAGGAACTACTCTTTTGTGTTTCCAGCAGTAAGAAGGCAAAATCTGAGCTTATTCCTTCGGCTTCTGTGCCTGATAGTGCCATCTTGGTGATCATCAATGTAAGGCCAAGTGTGGGTTTAACTTTTGATTGTAAGTTTATTTCCAGTGTTAGGATGGTATATACCCTTTTATGAAAACATCACTGTTAATTGTCCTGACAAAATTATTGCAAATATTAAGCTGGAGAGAAATTTGTTTCCTTATAATCTTTTCTTTTAACTCAAGAGACCCAGAGGGGTAGGGGAGGTTCCACATAACAAATAAACTATAAACATGTAAATGTTTTTGGAATGACTGGGATCCACACTGACTCGGTTGTGGCATCCTCACATTAAGTCTGCATTAAGTTTTCTGTACCATGATAGCAACCTGTCAACTCAAGCTTCATTAAAGTTCAGTCCCTTCTGTTTTTTATGATCTTTTAAGGGAGCTTCTATTTCTGTAGCAATCTAGAGCTCTTCCAGTGTTTAAAGCTTCGAGCCTACCAGCTTTAGGCATGCTTTGGGAAGGGAAACAGAAAATACCATTCATATGAGGTTATGTAACCCAAGAAGAAAAACAGGCTGCTCTTCCTTGTGTCAATAAATCTTAATGGCTGTTAGATGTTCATTATAGGTGTTAATCTATGTTAATGATGTTTAGTAAGCACAATTGGTTCGTTAAGTTATATTCTTCTGATCCATGCACTCTTTGGTTTTTAAGGTAACTCCAGTTGAATATGGCCATGTCTTCTTGGTACCTTGCACCGCAAACAGACTTTATCAGTTCCTGGATCCAAGATCAGTTGAACTAGTCACAAGGGTTGCTGCAGAAATTAATAACTGTTCATTTCGCATGTTCTATGATTGCTGTAGACCTAATCGTTCTGTATACTTTCAGGTAATAAATCATTCGTGGCTGTTCTTGTTTGCTTATTTCATGTCATTGTTGAGCCCACAAATGTTTTGGTAGTTTTGGCTTCAAAGTTTGGGAATTATATTCAATAATGCTACTACAATCAGCACTTTTGTGGTTGTGCTGTGCTAAGAAAAAAACTGAGGTTTAGTTTGGAAACCTAAATTTGGTTTGGAATCTGAATTTCAAATATTTCCATTTGAAATGCCTTGTTGGGATGAATTTAGAATTTGAAATTCATGATTTCCAAGAATCTTAGTTTTGAGGAGGGAGGGAATTTTAACTGGGCTAAATTTGACTAATTCAATTTCAAAAATTAATTTGAAATACTTTTTTGGATCTTTTAAAGTTCCAAGTGTATTTGGCCTAAATTCTTAACCAGTTCTTTAGGTTATTTTTTGGAACCAAAATTTGGCTTTGGATTTTAAATATTTTGGTTTAAAAACTTTCAAATTTAAAATTCTTTTTTGATAAGGTTTGGACCTTTTAAAGTTTATAGTAGATTTGGCCAAATACAAATCCAGCTTCTTTAAATCATTTCTAAAATTCAAATAAAAATACCTACCCCTAATATTGGTTTCCAACGGGCCTTTAAAAAATTCCTAAAACTATTACTTTGGATTTCAAAATCCAAACAATTCAAACCATATTTTACCATCCAAATATTGATTCAAATCAGAGTATAAATGTTTGTTAATATTAAGATATTAGAAGTTAGAGATAGATATGTTATTGAGTTTTTTAAACAAAAATCATGTAATTAAGGAAATGTGTGAATATTGTTCTTAGCTGTACATGAAATGTTAAAGTTAGTTACTTGAGGTCTTTAACTTTGGCATAAACTTTACCATACAAATAAGTTACTCATGGTAATTTTGGATCCATAGTTCATGCTTCCTAGACTCACCAAATCCTTTTTTGATTGAGAATAAGGAAATTTAAAGTTAAGTAATAGAGGCTGTTAATTTCAATTTAATTCAAAGTAATAAACAAATTGATATTGTAATCTTCACTCTATGCACTCTAAATTCCTAGCTATCTGTTATATCATAAAGGTATTAAGTCAACTAAATTCCTAAATTCACAATCTATAATTTATACTTTCAGAGCTCAATAATTTAAACACTATGACAATGATCTAATCAATTACAGGGCACATTGAATATCAAATTAATCTTGATCAATTATCAAAGTATCATTAATGAGACAAATAACAAATAAATAAGTAAATGACATATGGGCATAACTTGCTGCTTGGGGTTTGTCAAAAGGTAAGTACAGAGATTTCATAAAAACATAAGTAGTCAAATAAATGACAAGTCATTCAGGTGGTCTCTGATGTTGATTATTTTAGCTTTGGGAACAAATGTATGTATCAAATGGATGGCCTGTAAAAAGGTCAATTGCTTAGATAAACACCCATATCTCTTTTTCAAATAATGCTAGTATGCTGCTAACTTTAGTGGCTATATTCTTTTTATTTGATTCATGCTTACAGCTATCATGACTCCTTTATTTGATGATGCAGGCTTGCTACTTCCCTGACCCTTTACCTGTGGAGTTCAGGCCTGTAGACACTGTCTATAGTGGTGGGAGGAGAGGGATTCGCATATGTTCTGTCATAGATTACCCTATTAAGACCCTCTGTTTTCAGACCACTCATAATCTCAAGATAATGGCTGTAGCTATTTGTGAGATATGTTCTCATTTAGAGGAAAAGAATGTGCAATATAACCTGATGATAACTGACTCTGGCAAAAAGATCCTTTTGTTTCTTCAGGTAAGTCTGTTCAAAGCATAGAGATTTTTGTTGCCCCCACCTACTGGTGATAGTTGATATCTAATTAGTTTTGTTGTCTTTTAAAATTTCTAATGCAATGTCGTAAACTGGATGGATTTCCTTTTAAAGTATCACACTAAATCGTAGTTAATTTTGAGCGTGAAAGGGTAATGCTGCCTCTGTAACTTCTGTGTGGAAGTCATCGTTTGTGAAGAATGGCAAGAAGACAGAAAATGCAAAGCTATACACGCATCTTATCTATGATGTTGTCTATGATGCATGTAATCTGTAGTCAAACTGAACTTAAGTGGCCGTGAACTATAGTTGCATTTCCACACTACACCATGTTGTTTCCAGGTTTTTGTTTTAATTTCAGAACCCAACGCTCTAGATTCTATGGTAGGTTCCTTCTGTCAAAATTGATATCCCACTGGAGGATTTCATTCTCTTGAATACTGATCATGGGTTAATTTGAATCCATCCAACAGCGATCATTTGCAGCCTCAAATGCAATTTCAGCTTGGGAATGTGGGGGTTACTTCTTATTCAGGTGTAGGTATGAATTCGATCAAGTTACTGAGGATGCCATGCTTAAACGACTGAGCAGTTTCTCCCTTGACGATGACAACTTTGAAGCTGTGAAGCAGCTTTGCTGCAGCATTGCCAGTAAATTTGATAGTTGATCCAAGACTTTTCAATGCATGTTCATGACCTCTTGTGTAGTAGTAATTTAATACTATGTTGAACTCTTTTGACATTGTGTCTTGTTGTACTCTTATTGAGAACTCAGGCTTGTTATGGTATATGTTGTTTCTCCATGTTGTATCTGACTCTAATAAAGAAAGAGTTTATATTTGATATACTATCAATATGTCGAGTGAATGGTTATTGCAGTATTTGGTTCATTTTTTTTACCAAAGAACGACCATTCTCGAGAATATTTATTTCGAGAAAGTACTAAATGATCTATTTGGAAATTGGACTGAACTATTTGAAAAGGTATATGGCAGTGTGGACAAAATAATCAAATTTAAGGCTTCCATCAATGATCACATTATTCACACACAAACTTCAATTAGTCATAATCTAGATGAGATATTTGACTTCATCCTACTAATAAGTTAAGCCAGATCCAACGATTCAGGAAAAAGGACTATACAAATCAGCATCTTGATCATTTCATCATAGTCAAATGAAACATAATCATGATCTTCTCATATTTGGCTCCCCTTACTGCAATGTTAGTAAGGATCTTACACCAACAAACTTTGAGTTTAATACAACAAAAATAAAAGAATTTTAAGCTACAAGTATGATACTGTAAAGGAATACAATTACTGCTCTTGAACAGTCATCAGGCAAGCTCACCATCAGATCCACCTATATAGCTTCTGGTTTGGACGCCCCTGAACCAGAATTTCCATCATATAGCCTATTTTCAGCTTCTCTCTCTTCTAGATCCCCCAAGGCCTGACTGCTTGAAAAGGAATTGTCCATAGTGTTGGCACGGATCCATGCTTGATGGAGTTGCAAGACATACTCCAAGTGCCATAAAACTTCCCCCATGGTAGGCCTGTTCTTCCCTTCATCCGCAAGACATTTTTCCGCAATCTCTCCAAACTTCTCCATTGACTCTGGAGAATATTTTCCCCTGAGATGTGGGTCAATAATGGTTTCGAGTGACCTTTGTCTCTGCCACCTCATTGCCCACTCTGCAAGATTTATCTGGTCTTTTGGCAAGCTAGGATTTATAACAGCACGAGCACAAACAACTTCAAACAACACCACACCGAATGAGTAGACATCAGATTTCTCAGTCAACTGCTGCCTCCGGAAATACTCAGGGTCAAGATATCCGAAGCTCCCCTTCACTGCAGTACTAACATGGGTATGCTCCAGAGAAGGACCAGTTCTTGACAGCCCAAAATCTGACATTTTTGCCACAAAATTTTGGTCCAACAAAATGTTGGTTGTTTTAACATCCCTGTGAATAATTCCCCGCTCTGCTCCTGTATGAAGGTAGTGCAGTCCCCGAGCAGCACCAATGCATGCTTCCAATCGCTGCTTCCAAGTCAATGCTGGGACATCATTTCCAAACAGATGACTTCTAAGAGTCCCATTTGCCATGTATTCATAGACCAAGATCATCTCATTTTGTTCATCACAGAATCCAATCAAGGAAACCAAGTGCCTATGTCTAAGCTTAGAAAGCATCTCAATCTCAGTATGAAATTCAGTAAGCCCTTGCTCGGATTGTGGATTTGCCCGCTTTATCGCTGCAAGGGTGCCATCTTCAATCTCCCCTTTGAATACTTTACCAAAGCCCCCTACACCAATCACTAAACTTTCATCAAAATTATTTGTAGCTGTCCGAATCTCTGCAAGTGTAAATTGCTTGCCAACTCCAATGGAGGCAATAGATCCATTTATATTTTGAAGTCTAGATAATCCTTTGGCATTAGCAGTGCTATTTAAAATGGACCCATGAAGGAACAATGGTCTCCACCCAGGAGTGTTGTTTTTCATGTCACCTGATTCTCTTCGTTGTTTTTTGCAGAAACAAAATAAAAAGGTACCAGCAGCTGCAAGAATGGCAACACTGGCTACACCTGTACCAATTCCCACCCAAAGAATCCAAGATTTTGAATTGTGAGTTGAATTCCCAGTTGAATCATATCTCTGCACGTGGGCAAGATTTCCATTTCGGCTAAGCTTGAAAATCTCCAGCCCGTTCAAGAGAGCATCAGTTCCTGAAGCACCAGCTGCAGTGTCAGGACCCAGTTGAATCCAGAGGATGTTGATTTTGGAAGAAACCGCATCAAAGTAATCCTGATGATAAGCTTTATTTATTCCCCCTGCCCTGACAAAAAGGTCAAAATTATTTGCTGCAGTCCGGTTATTTATGTAGATTCTGAAAATCCTCTGGCTCGGCTTATCATAAACCAGCTCACAGAAGTGTAAGCGGACTAAGTAATCAAAATCAGGATCCACTTCAAACCTCCATGACATATTGATCCTTTTCTCCAACACATCGGTGTTGGACATGCTTCTTGCTGTTTCATACACAAGAAGAGGAGCCAGTGAAGAATCATTTGCAGAAGCATAGGTAATATTAGAACTGTTGTGTGTTTCAAAACCTGCATTTGCTGTGATCATATAGCCAGAATCCACATCCCATGTTCTCCAATATTCTGAATCCTGACTGGCATTAATCTCAGGACCCCCAACATTCAACCTATACATAGTTTCAATACCCCTTCCACTTAGATTCAGATTTGCATCATTTCCACCCACTTTACTGACTGAATCTGCAAAAAGCTCATCGGCCACGGGGACCATCTCCATGGCATTAATGAACCCAAATGATCCTTTTGTTGGGGTGAACTCAATCACAAGCTTACCTAAATTAATAGGTAAAATATACTCTTTAACCAATGAGAACGAGCTGGAATTAGTTCCCATAGCTTGGAGGTACAAATTCTTGTGTGCAATCTCACCAGCAACATTAAATTGTTCTAAGAGTTTCAGACCATTTGCCACAACATCGAAAGAAGATTCATTTACATTGTGGTCATCAAAGGAGAAGGGACAGAAATGAAGCCTCAAGAAATACTTCCCCTGGATTCCATTAAACGTGTAATTCAACTCATCACTGAAAAGGCGGGCAGATTTATAGAGAGGTGCAAAGATTGAATCACCACTTAGTGTAGAAGTAGCGGAAACAACCTCAGGAGAACTAAGGGTGAGATTATTATCAGCGGACAAGTCGCCAACCCATTTTCTACCATCCACATTGACACTAGAATTTGTGCCGCAATTTATCAGAAAAGACTTTGACTGAGCTTCACCTTTTCTAAAACTTGCAGAGAATACAATAACAAGGAGCAAAGACAAGACCTTACCGCCTTGAACCTTCCCCATCATCACAATCCCTCAAGAAATTGAAACCCTTTTTTTTTCTTTGTCTCCTATATTCTTCTCAAGAAAATAAGATTACAAAAGGTTGTTCCTGGTTGAATAGCATGAATCAACCAAAACTAACAAATAAGCATGTCACACAAATCTACTTTCAGTTTCCCAGAAATGCATCAGAGCTTTTCCCTTTACCATCAAGCCTTAACAGAAGAAAGAATTTAATCACAAAATGTACACAAATATTTGAGATTTCATATCTCAGCAACTTGAAAAACATGCATTTCCCTTTTGGAGCAACAACATGAATTTACCTCAATGGATCCAATCTGGGTATTTGAGTTTTCCCCTTGAGAACCCCAACAAAGCATAAACTTTCCCTTTGAACAACTTTGGCCTACTGAAAAAGAAGTAACCTTGCAGATCTGCACCCAAGATGAGCTGAAAATGAAAAAGAGTCAAAGACTACAGGGGGTAAAACACAAAGGGTGGCAATGTAATATGATTGGTAGAAAGATACCAAATCAGGTGAGCAGCAAGGACTATGACAGAAATCTAAGAGAAAAATAGTAGAAAAAAATATAAATAAATAATGATAAGGTTATCTGAATAAGAAACTAGAACATGGGCTGTTGTTGGAAACAGATTGGAAAAGTTCACTTCAGCCCACCCTTGTCTGTTGCATCTCTAGGAAAGAGCCAAGAATCTGACATATCAAATCTGCAACCCTATTAATTAAATCACTCATCTTTTTGAAACTGTTGTTTCCTTGCAAGAGGTGTCAATATCATTCTACTTTTTCACCCTACTAAGCTTTAAAAACCAATACCACCAAATTTTTAACAGGTTGGAGTATCAAAAAGTACTATAATTACACAAGTAATTACTACAACTTGAATTGGTTCTTGCCATGTTTCTCTATGAGCAGATCCTCTAAGTCTAAGTTCACTAAGGTGTAATGTGATGGGTTCTCATATCTCAAAGAAAAAGCAACTTTCAAGCTCTGGGTCACTATGATTTGTGGGTGTAGCCATGCAAGAAAGAAAAGGGGAGATGGCCTAAGAGATGCGCGTCCATGACTAGCTAGTTGGGTCACATGCATTTGTCTGGGAGATGATGAGCGGTGCAAAGGCAAAGCAAAGCAATTGTTCTTGTTTAGAATTCCTAATCTGTCCCTCATTTTACAATTATTGCAAAAGCTGTGCCTTGTCTTATCCTCCCTCCGTACCATAGTGTACTCTTTTGCCCTTTGGGTCTTTGGGCATGAAAGTCTAATTATATCATTTCTTTAACTTAATAATAGGACTTTTGTATTCTTGACATGATTAAATAAGATTAAAATATTTTATAATTATGTTTGGATAGTAAAATTATTACTTAACACAAATTCTACTAAAGTTCGAGTGAGGTTTTCAAGTAACAGTGGTAGAATGTTCATTACTTAAACTTGCTTATAAATAATGATTCATATTAAATTTTAATTTTATATTTTTTTATTTATAAATTTTTTGTAATTAAAATAATAACTATTAAAATTCATTAATTGTTATTATTATTAAATAATAAAAAATTTATCAAAATAATATAAAAATAAAAAAAAAAGAGGATATTTAATTTGGGATATTTGAAGAAAGAAATATGAACATTTAATGGAAGAAAAAAATACCTTCAAATAGGAAAAAGTACCTAAAAGGGTAAATAATAAAAAAAGTATTTAAATTTTTTATCCTTTTAATTTTTGGAAAATAGATAAAAGAGAAATTGGGAGGAAAATAAATGAGATGGGGACACGGTTGCTTGTAGACCAACTGACATCTAACTACCTTGGATTCCACTTGTTAGCTCCCATTTCAATCATCATTTAACTAAGTTTAGCCTTTTGTTTTTTATCTCAAAACTTATTATTTGATAGGATAATTAAATTTTAAAATTATTATTTAGATTCATATCCGAATATTCTACACATTAAATATTACATACTTGAATCAATTAAATGCTTAATTAAAATAAATTTAAAATTATATTTTATGTATATTCAATTAATAAATTAAAGTTAATTCACAAAATAAATTAAATTTTAAATTATATTTAAAATAAAATATGAGTAAGAGATGAAAAGAATATTTATCCAATTAATAGATATATGGTTTAAGTTGAAAATATGAATCCGATATAAATGATATTAAAGTTTAATTAATTCTTCATTGATTTGATATTTAAATATTAAAATTTGAGATGAGATCGGATCAAAATGAGGTTTTTTTTTTTTTATAATTAAAAAATTAATATAACAAGGAAATATCCTTGATTTCACGTGGACACGAATTCTAACGAATTAAAAAAAAATAACAATAATAAATAATAAAAATCTGATAAGGAATGAGAAAAAGAAAAAAAAAAGAAAGAAATCCTTTGTAACGGCTAGTTTGCGGTGCGGGGCCAGGCGTACCGTTGATTGAGTAGAAAGAAAAGGCGTAGCGGGAGACGCACTGCAGCAGCACGCTCCCCGACGACGGCGCACCTTCACGCAGTCACACTCTCCTTTTTCTTTGGAATCCATTTCCATCCGAAAGGGTTTTAGGGTTCCGAAAGGGAAGATTTGCTCCAAAATTTAGATCCTTTCCCCTTCTCACATTCTTACATTTTTAGGGTTTTTATTTATTGCACCATCACATCATGAACATCTTCAAGAAGAAAACATCTCCCAAAGGTATTTCACTTTCTCTTCAGCATTGTTGGGATCCCACTGAAATTCCTTTAGATTCTCTCTCACTGTGTGTGTTCTCTTGTCCTTTTCCTTTTTTACTCTGGAAAGCTTCATGTCCATGTTTAGACTGTGCACTGCTCTTTTTGTTCTGTTTCCGTTTTATTTGTAAGTTTTTTGTGATTTTTCAGATGCTTTGCGGACGAGCAAGAGAGAAATGACGGTTGCAACCCGAGGTCTGTCTGGGTTTTTTCTAGTTTTTTCTATGCTTCATATTCGAAATTGCTTAGTCCAAGCATAGATTCTTTGAAAGTACACCCAAGTTTGTTCATTCTTCGTGCAATGATGCACCTGATATTACATGGAATTCCAAAATACAATCTCATGTGTTTCAAATTCTGTTGGGCTTTTCCTTTGTTCTCTCCTACTATTCAGCTAAAGCTGAAAATAGTGGTCATGTTTGTTTTTATCCAGATTGCTCTAATATTTTTCTGTTTGTTTAGGAATTGAACGTGAGATTGCATCACTTCAGCTGGAGGAAAAGAAATTGGTGGCGGAGATCAAGAAGACGGCCAAAACTGGAAACGAGGTAAGTTTAATACTAGTTTCAAAGAAATGGCCTGTGATAGTTGTCAAGCCATATACGTATGACATTTGTTGACCTATCGAGTCTGTTTATATTGCTGAATTTTAAGTTACGGCTATTTCAATGTTGGTAATGAGGTATTTTTATTGTAGAGCATGAGGATTGTTACAAACCTAAAAGATGTTTTGTGAGAACACATGTGAGGCATAGTCTCCTGAAACATTTTGCTTGACTTAGGTTATAAAAGTTGTACAAGAGGGCTTGAAATTTGTTATCTTGGAGCCTTTATGTTTGAGGAAGTGCTATCATCTTTAACAACCTTTTTGGTGTAAAATAAGTAGTAGATGATGCAATAAGACATGCTGATTTTGAATAGCCTTTCCTCTGTATTTGAGTTATCTGTCTTGAACGTTCAGGATGTGGAAGAAATGCACACCTGCTCATTACTCGAAGCAGAACTTTAAATCTTGCTGGTGTGTAATGGCAAATCATGGAAAGATCCATAAATACCTCATTGTCTGTTTATGAAATTTGTTTGCTTATTAAGATACTTTGCTGTATTTATCAAGAACCCTGCCACTAATTCTATTAATTCCCCAAAATCTTTCAGAACTTTAAATCTTGCTGGTGTGTTTGCATAAGAATTCCATTAATTCCCCAAGCTCGCAGCTTGTTCTTTTGTATCTAATTACCTGTATGTGTTTTTTAGGCAGCTACTAGAATTTTAGCTCGCCAACTTGTACGACTGCGGCAACAAATAACCAATTTGCAAGGGAGTCGTGCCCAAATCAGAGGTGTAGCAACTCATACACAGGTTGAGTTTCGACAATAAAAAATTAGTTGTTGGGATAATTAAAGTTTGTATCACTATTAATTTACATATTTTATTTTTATGTTCCCAGGCATTATATGCCAGTACCTCAATATCTACAGGAATGAAAGGTGCAACTAAGGCAATGGTGGCAATGAACAAGGTCTGCATCTAAAAGCTTGCAGTAGAAAATGTTATATATTGTTGTTTTTTTTATCATTGTTGAAGTCCTTAAAGAACAAAAATCAAGTCAATCTGATGTTTCCATTGGTAGCTGTTCAGCTTAGCTCTAGTGACAGGTAAAGAGGTTTTAGAAATAAGGAGTCAATGATCTGATCGGCAAATAGGATTGTATACTGGAAAATGTTATACTTACATGTTTTGTACTACAATATGGTTCTGCAGCTTCTTCTTTCCTCAAGGTTAGATGGTTCTCATATTCGATCATTGCATTGTCTTTCCTTTTGCAGCAAATGGCTCCAGCAAAGCAAGCAAAAGTGATAAAAGAATTCCAAAAGCAGTCAGCACAAATGGACATGACAGTAATACTCTTTGTTTTCTTGGAATATTTTTACTTTTAGATTCTCTCCTCATACAATTTTCAGCCTTGAGAGCTATAATACCTGGTGATCATACCTAGAAAATGATGCAAAATTAATTAGATAGATTAACTCTGTTCTCAGTGCAATGATGCATACTTGCTTCATATTGAAATTTTTGCAAGAAAAAACTTAGAGCTTGGTGGATTGACTTGTGTGAGAGTGGCGTTTCTCTTCATTGTTGCTGTTTAGTATGTTTTGTAATATGGGTTCATGTAGTAATGGTTGTTTTCTTGATCTTTTTGCAGATAGAGATGATGTCAGAAGCTATTGATGAAACTTTAGATAAAGATGAGGCTGAAGAGGAAACAGAGGAGCTCACGAACCAGGTGAGATGTTTTATTTATTGACAATATTTTTTTTCCATTTTAGTTTTCTTGGCATAGTTCCTATTCTGTTATTCCCTAGATCTCTGATTTATATGGTTGATAAACAGGTGCTTGATGAGATTGGAGTGGATATTGCTTCTCAGGTTCGAAACTTGAAATTGATCTTATCAAAAAATTTCTGTGATATGTTTGCATTTTTTAAATTGCAAGAATGTGTAGATAATGCTTAATTTTGCCGCATTCTTTGAACAGCTATCCTCAGCTCCAAAAGGTCGGATTGCATCAAGGAATGCTGCTCCTGAGGTTAATGCTAGGTATGCATGACTTTTTGTGAGCAAAATCTCAATATTTATGTTGTCCACTAAAATATCATCTGCTTCTGTTAATTTAAGTGCAAAATGTTGAGCATTATTTATCATCATTCATTCACAAAGTAGTACTGTATACTCCTTATTTTAGACTCCCACTAAATCGGGAAAAAAAAACCCTCCCCTATTTTCTGTCTCCCTTTCTAATGATAGTAATACTTTCAACACATACTCAACATCTATGGTTAGTTGGTTATTGCATAGAAGTCAGCTGTTGGAAATCAGTGGCTCTGAATTATTTACATTACAATGACTGAAATAGTCTGTAATCTCAAGATAGCAGTTGTGCCAATTGCCCAATATTTGTTGGTGATGTGGGGCAATCATAGCGTGGTGATGTAGTTTGTTGATTTATTTTCTTAAAAGAAAAGGGAATCACGGATAAATTCTAAAAGTATAGGGTTGTTGTGTGCTATGTAGACGAAGCTTTAAGATGATGCCATGCAATTTTGCACTGTATAATTTATTTATTTAATTATCTCAGAATAATTTTTGCAGTCTCAAATAAGAACCAGATACTTTTCCTCTCCGTTTTCTCAAAGTGGAATATGCTGAAGGAAGAAATTATAAACATGCAGTAGGAAGATATGTGCAAAAACAGGAATTAAACTTTTTAACAATGTACTATGGTCATCTGCAGGTCTGAATCTACTGATGTTGATGAACTTGAGAAAAGGTTGGCCTCTCTTCGCCGGATATGATGGCATAGGCATAGAAGTTAACTTGCTCAGAAAAATCTCATCGCTGTATAAATTATTTAAAGTATATCATGAAGAACAGAACTGTAATGATAAGATTGTTATATCTGTTCTACTTACCTGAATAACCAAACGGATTGGAATATTTTCTTGTTCAAATATCACAACTCCTTATTGAAATTTTGGTGGTGTGGTGTCCATTTTAGGTCCAAAATAGTGATGTGATTATTACTGCTTGTAGTGTCCTCCATGAAGATGACAAAAGGGCTTCACTAGAATTTCCAACAGGCCATTTAGACACTTGTGTTTCTGTACATATCCATGAACAATTTGTGTATAAATTGCTTGTGGATGGGACCCAAATGGACATGTGTATCCATGGACATTAACACACTCCTTAGCATTCCCATTTTGTTTTTATTTTTAAGAGCAAATTAAAAAAAATTAAATCAAATAATAATCACATATATTTTGTCGTCTTCTAAATATCAACTTATTGACATATGACTACTTAATTATTTTCATTTAAAAAAAAAAGCCCATGGCTACTTAGAGCATGGAGAATGGAGACCCAAAGATAAAATATAATCTAAAAATTGTATTTTGTGTAAATTTTTAATATTAAAATTCACATTAATTATTTTTAATATCAAACTAAGCCTTAATTATCTTTTACCATAAAAAGAAAATAAAAATTTTATTTTTTTATTTATACGTTTATATAAAATTATAAAACTGTTCTCCAAAGTTGAATATTTACATATATGAGCCATATTAAGCTGTCATTTCATAGTAGCCACCTTCTAGAGTATGAATCTCAAAGTGGGTGACATTTTTCTTTTTATTTTTTTGGAATAGTCTAATTTACTTGGAGATATCAAAACCAAGAGTCTCTCTCAACAAATAAAAGAAAATAATAAGTAAATAATAGGAGGGTAAAAGTGTAAAATTCATTATGTAGCGTTGGGTTCGTTTGAAGGATTCTTATTGAAATTTCTTTTTACCTAATAATAAAGCGGGCCCAAATCGTAACGACATTTAAAAAACCAAATTCCCAGGAAACTACTTCCTGTGATTATCCCAATCCCATCACCCAAACACACGCGGACTCATTTATATACCAAAATTTTCAACCATATTTCAAAAACCAAACAAACAAAAAAGAGAAAAAAAAAATCGGTTTTTCTTGGTTTGACCCAAATCCTCGTGATTACAGGATTCTTAATTTAAGTGGATCTCATCGTCTCTGTAAAATTACAGCTTATAACTTTCCTTTAACGAGATTTCTATTTCTTCTAATCAAGGTTTCCGCCTTCTTCAAGGTAGTAATCAACTTCATTATTTATTTATTTATTATTATTGTTTTTTTTAATTTTACCTCTTAATTACGATTTATTTTTGTTTGGCAGGAATTTCGACTCTCAATTCGATTGCTTCTCTAAGGGTTGGAATCGGTTCCCTGTTGAAGGACGGGAAATCGGGTATTTATTTTTTATTTTTTGCTTTTTTGGGGGGTTTAATTTCGATCTTATCGATGTTCGTCAATAGTGTTTGTTTTTCTAATTAGAATTGTCTTATGTGAATGAATTCATCTTCTTTTTGTAAGTAAAGATTATGGGCTGATCCCTGCCTGCTATAACTTGCATTGGCTAGGGATTTTGAAAAAAAGGAAGTGTTAATTGTGCTGAGATGTTGCTAATTATCTGATTAATAGGGAAAAAGAAAAAAAAAATGGAGGTAATTATTGTTCTGAATGAAAAATTGGAAAAAAAAAATTAACACTTTGGACCATATAGTACAATTGCTTTTTTATGATTTTCCTTTCTCGATTTTTGGAATTCGAGTTCGTAATTTTGGTTCTATGTGAATGTGAACGTTGATGCATATGATTTTTGTATATCTGATATTGTACCTGGAAATTGGACTCTCATTATGTTGCCATTGAATGCTACTAGTTAAAGGAGTCTTGTGCCTTCTTCCAGTCTGATTATGCACTTTAATAATAGACCTTTTTTTTCACTAGTAATTTCAATATTTTTGAATGTTATGGATATTGACCTCTAGAGGTCATTTTGCTTCATAGAGATTGACTGATTGGGTTAATGGGGTGAGAGTTTACTACCATCTGCTTTATATTGAATGTATCTCAAAACCAATAATATCATTTGTAAATAGCTAATTAATGTTATATTGAGATTTTGGAGAAGTATCTTTACGTGGTTCTTTTCAATGATTGCAGATATGCAGAGCCAGCTTGTGTGTAGTGGCTGTAGGAGCATTCTTCTTTATCCTAGAGGGGCTACAAATGTTTGTTGCGCGTTATGCAATACAGTTACCCAAGTCCCTCCCCCTGGTATGCTTCATTTATAAATTGCAAAATATAAAACCATCCATTAGTTTTCTAAAGCTGTGACCAGTTTAATCTCTTGTTCTTTTGTGCATGCAATAGCAGTTGCTAGTTTTCATTATCATCAGCATGAGTATTATTTCTTGAAACTCAAAAGAGATCTACTTCTTAAAGTTGGTGAAGTTTTCTTATTGTCTAAGTGGCCTTGTGTATAATCTGTTAGTGCCATCAAGAACTACTTCCAGTAAGAAAGAATGGCTGGACCTAGTGGATTCCTTTTTACCCTTTAATTTTTGACCTAGTGGATTTCTCTGTTTTACTTGTCTGTTGAGGACTTGCCTCCTTGAACGGTCCTCTTAGAAATGAAGAGGCTAGAGCCACTAATCTTTTCTCTTAATGCAGAGTAATGCAGATGGTGACTTAACCATGTTTCATCAAATCAACCCAAACGTAGAGAGCAACTCAATCCCAAAGCTTACTTCTTAACTTACTCTTTTTCTCTGAAGGCTTCTGATTCTAGTAATTTTAGCATTCCATGCATTGATGGTTCAGACCTAGAGCCTCAGAAGCGTGAATCACTGGCACTGAGAAAAATCCAAATATTTCAATTCCATTAATGCTCCACAGAGACAGCAAAAGAGCGGCCCCTATCCCCTAGATTTCTTTGCCGTAGAATTTCCTATTTAGTTCCTCCAGCACTATATCCCTGCCTAGAGAGTTGAGAATGTTTTACTTTGGCTTTCTAAAGTAAGCTCTGATAGAGATCCAACAGTCTCCTTTTGCAGTCATGCAAACATCTACATGAAATTTTTTGCTGAGTTTGCTGCCTTGCCACAAATATTCGTCATTGTTAATTACAAAATATGGGCCTAAATGCTGAAATGAGCAGGGATTGGGTGGTACAACCGATGGAGCTGGTTTTTCTGTGCCTTATGTTGGTTTGCCACAAATATTGGTCATTGGTTTATTACAAAATATGGGCCTAAATACTGAAATGAGCATGGAATTGGGTGGTATAACTGATAGAGCTGGTTTTTTGTGTGCCTTATGTTGGATTTTGTCATTCATTAGCTACACATGGTGGATATATAGTTCGCCAAGAATCATCCTTACCTTTTTTGCAGTTAGAGATCATCTTGCCTAACATATAAGCTGACTGATGATTGATATCACTCTCTGGTCTGTATGTTTGAAAACTAAGAATGCCTCAATACTCACTTCTTCACTCTCCCACGGCCTATAAGCCTTTCGGAGTCCTACAAGTCCTGATTCTTCTCTCTTCTCATTAACCATTATATAGTCACTTATTTTGTGGAATTGCCAACAAGTTTGATTCCTGTCATGATTTTCCAGAACTTCTTGTATTTCCCTCGTCACTTTATGTTGTAGGATTCAAACATGTGATCAAGATGTGAATTTTTTAAGGTATCCTTTGCTTGTTATTTTTGCTTTTTCCTTTTGTGCTTTTGAAAGAGAAAAGGCAAAAAGCATATCTGATATAAATGCAAACAAAATTAAAATATAAAATGTTGTTCTTTTAGAATTAAAAATTGCATTTTTTTCATCTATTTCGACTAATGATGTTATGATTGGTGTTACATTATAGTCATTTGTTCCTTTTTAATCAATTATGATTTGGTGTTTATCATTTGCCTTTTTGCTTTATTATCAACATTTTTGAAAGGTTAACCAAAAGTAAATAGTAAAATGCAAGTAGCAAAAGCAATTACCAAAAGGATCGTAAGTTTTTTCTTTTCAAAACTTTTAATGGTGTGATGCATTGGCTGCAGAAGTTGCTGATTCCATCTTTAAAAATTTCAAACTAAATGTAATGTTGAATGGGCTAACATGCAATAGACCTCCACTTGGTATGGTTGAGTAATCTGACTTATTACCTTTTTAAGTGAAGCATCGGCTCAACTAAATCAAATCAACCTGATAATAAGGATAGTGAAATCAAACTCATGACAATTTGTTAGTGAGAATTTGCTGCTGTTTATTTTAGAGATTTTTATGTTATGCCCTTGTCTAATTGTTGAATTTTTTTTTTAATATGACATAAGTCATTTTAGTGTGGATTTTCTTGCTTTTATAGTTACTTCTTTATGTGCACTTGATTGTGTATAAGCTAGATAATAACTAGTTTAACTTGGAGCACTCCAAACAAATCTCAAACAATTTTTATGGTCCCTAAACCATGCTTCTTTGGAACTGCTGAAGGCATGACCCTATCTTGGCCAGATGCTTAGATCTACCGTTCAACTTGGCTTGTTTGTAGCCCTATCAAGGTTGTTATCTACAATCTTTGCGCTTCTTGGCAACATTAACTTTCTTTTGTCTGGTACTTAGACATAATGTGCAACTTGATATTGGCCCTTAATATTTAAAGGTTTGGTTATCAAAACACCTTAGCAAGATTAGAAATGGCTTTCATTGATTGCCGGGGTGATAACCTGCTAACTAGAGTACTAATAGATGGTTCTCTAGGTATTATTTTTCCTGATCCTTTTAACAGACATCTGACTGCAATGCCACTGTATTGTATATTTAGATGAATTTTCTTTTTCCTTTTTCATGTTGGTTGTGTTGTTGATGTATAACTCGATACTCTCTGGTAATGCTAATGGTGATGCTATTGTTATTTAGAAAATTCTACTGAAACAAGAGATTTAATTTAAGGCAAAGAAATCATTAATGTGGGGTGACCAGTAACATTCCTCTTACTTAAATATGTAAATATGTCAATTATCTGAGAAGAATCTTATGGTTTGATAACCTAAGTTTGTAAATTAACCCTGCAGGGATGGACATGGCTCAACTCATTTGTGGAGGTTGTCGAACATTACTAATGTATACACGCGGAGCAACAAGTGTAAGATGCTCTTGCTGTCAGACCATTACCCTTGCGCCAGGTACAATATAATGATTTTTTGCATGAGATGTAAATTTGTGGCTGTAATATTTGGAAGTGCAGAACTGTTGGGATTAAAGAAAAATGGAAAATCATTTTTGGTCTGCAAGGAAAATCTAATGCTTGTGGAGTGAATTTTTGTTTCTTACTTTTAACTTTTTCTGCTCTGTATATAAGTTTGAGTGTGGTTCGGTTTTCTCAGAAAAAAAAGTGTGGTTCTGTTTGCTGATGAGTGCTTCCAGTTCTGTACTTTTCAAGTGTTACAAGGTGTTCTTCATGCATTTACCTTGTGACCATTGTATTTGTCATTGTTATTGTAATCTTCATTTAATAGCAGTCTGAGCTACTTTGTGTAGTTAAATGATCTTAGTATGCTTCTAAAATTTGTCTGCCATGTTGATAATGGCTGTTTCAATCATATTAAGATGCTTCTTCTTTTTCATCTTCTAGCATGCACTTGCAGTTTTGTGTGGCTGTGGATTCAAGTTGGAGCATGCACTTGTAGCCTGTGTCTTTGTGGTTGTTAATTAGAGCTTTATGTGCAGCTATTTAAGCTATTCCAGTAACTAAATCATCTTAATATGCTTCTTTACAGAAAGTAGTTTGATTGTATTAGACTCTAGTTCTGTCTTAGAGAGCTTTGAATTGGAACTGTTTTGTGAATGGTTTTCAGCCTAGCAGTAAATTCGGTCTTTAAAATTTAAATTTCAAGTTGTAGCTCAACCATTCTCCCTTAGATAATGAAGACAGATAATTTGTTCACAAAGTTATATACTCTTCCATGAATTTTGAGAAGTGAGTACAAACAGTGCAGTATTCTCTTCTTTGGTTCCTCATTCAACTTTTGATCGTTGCATTTCCAGGTTGCCTTGCAGCTGTATTAGTAGTTTATCCTTTCTTCTGTAAAGAAAAAGAAAAGTTTATTCTTTATGTTGCTTGTTTGTTACTTTTTCATGGTCCCCAGCTTATTTACTGACTTGGTTTTTTTTTTTGGATCTCATGACTATGAAAAAAGCATCCAACCAGATTGCTCACATCAATTGCGGACACTGCCGTACAACATTAATATATCCATATGGAGCTCCATCAGTCAAATGTGCTGTTTGTCAATATGTAACTAATGTTGGAGTAAGTAATATTCAATTGATACAACTTTTCATTATTGCATTTATCATTAACATTTAAATATAGGTTTAAGAATTTGCAGAGATTTAGAGGTTTACTTTCATTTCACAAGAGGCTAAAAAAGGCTTTTCAAAAATAAAGAAAAAAGGCTAAAAAAGGGCCATACTAATTTATTATTGGCTTGATATATTGATGCATTTCTGCATGTTTTCATTTATTTGGTTTTTGTGCTGTTGTTGCAAGCTCCTTGCTGTTGTGATGTACCAAACATAATCATGTGTTCTTGTTTTCGGGTCCTTTGTCTATGGCTTCTCTCTCCCCTGATTGAATTCAACTTTGGAGCAATTTCTCTCAAACTTGGTCTTGCTCCCCATTTTAATTAAGTAGCTATTGGGAGATTTAGGGCGGGATTAGTTTTAATGGAAATGAGATCAACTCCCTTTTCTTAAAAGAGGTTTTGGGCTATTTTAGGTTTTGGATTTCTTAGCAGGATTCAGGAAAGGGTAGGGCAAATTTTGCTGGTGCCCTTTCATTGCCATCTTATTATGGCCATTTACTTCTCAAATATCCAAAATTTGTGCATCCCAGTACCCTATGGAATAATTTTGCTTACAAGTTAAGTTTACAAACCAATTTTAAATATTTTAATGTTTCCTTTTAATGAATGCGTCTGATCTAATGCTCACAATATGAATTCTCAGAAAGCTGTCTTTCTGTGTTTTTCCCTATAGAATGAATTTAATTATACTTAAGCAGAAGGATAAGTACTTATTTTCTGCTTATGTGAATGCAATTAATAGTTTGAGCCACGGTGTGAGATGCAGTGTATATATTTCTGTCTAGAGAAATTGTATTTGGTGTTTAACACATTCCTCGCTCTCTATTCTCATCTGTCTTTCAGATGGGCAATGTGAGGGTTCCACTTCCCGTAAACAGACCTAATGGAGTAGCTGCGACGGGGACAACACCATCTACTTCAACAGTAAGTTTTGAAGTTTTTTTTTTTTTTTTTTTTAGTGAGAAAACGGAGATGGTTTTGAGTTACCAACTGTATAGTGAATCTAACTTTTTGCCGCCAATGCTGCATTCTCAGAGCCAAACAGTTGTCGTTGAGAACCCCATGTCTGTTGACGAGAGTGGCAAATTGGTAAATAGAAGTTTAAGTGCATATTTTTGTTATACATTCTTTTCATTTTCTTGAGCTTTATATTCAAGTTGAAAGTGGGGTGGGGGGAGCATGGAGCATGCTGACAAAACTACGATATTGCAGGTGACCAATGTCGTGGTTGGCGTAACGACAGACAAGAAATGATGGGATGAGAATTTTGAGTTTGATTGCTCTTTTATTTGATACGAGAATGCATACAAACATTGTTATGACTGCTGGAAAGATAGGAATGGAAATCGGTTTGTGTATATTATGTTGACAATGGGAAACAATGAACATTTATTGAAGAATGTGTGATGTGCATTTGGAGTAATGAGAGGTGGGGAAAGTGTCATTTATATGATTTGCCAAACTGAAATAATGTTTGCTTAGCCGAGTGAATGTGTTCATCTACTAGATAATTTCTCTGCTTCTGTCAAACCTCTTGTTACCTTGGGCTTATTTTACTCAATTGGCTCTGGTCTTTAGAGGATATGATATGCTTTGTTTTAGGTTGAGGAAGCTCCTGCATCTATGGAGCCTTTCTTAACCGCTGATATTTCTTAAGAGAGCAATAATATTTCTATTTTTCTTTTAAAAAAATAAGAGTAAATTTTGCTGACGTCCTGGGGTTTTGATTTTTTTTTCTGTATGACATTTTGTGATTTTTTTTCAATTAATTCTTTCTAGATAATTTTTTATCAATTAAGATTTTACGGTTAATTTTTGTTGTCTAGGTATAAATTCAGAGAAAAAAATATAAAATATTATGTAAAAGAAGTTTAACACTGAAAAACGCGTAGGTGAAGTTTACTCGAAAATGAAGTAATTTCTATCTTGGGGTAAAAATTCTGATAAAACGGTACTTCCCGTGTAAATTGAAAGGTAATCACAAAGGAAGCCTAAGAACTAGTTTGAAGAGCACATAGCACGGATTAACATGATAACTGGCTATTTGACAAGAGTTTTGAATTTCATACCTAATCGAATGTGTATTAAAATAAAATTGAATCTTTTAAGTGTTTTATATTTCACTTCATTTTCAATATGTGAAGTGTTTTTTGTGGAATAAAATTATGAATAAGAGCGAGTAAAATTACAACAAATCAATTACTTATTCAAATTAAATGAAATTTAGATTAAATGATTTTGCTTAATTAATTCATTGGGTCAATTGATCCAAAATATTTAATTTAATTGATTTTTAAGTCGATTCTCGATTTAAAAGTTTTTGAACCAAACCAACTAAAACACTAAACTAGTTATATATATATAATTTTTAAATATATATAATATATAATATATATTTAATATTTTTATTTTTTCATTTTCATTTCTTTTAATTTTTTTTTGTTTATGCATTTTAGAGATGTCCAAGATTGAGATTGTGGATTCCATTTCTGTTGTTGAGGAATGATGAGTGAAGAGGTTAAAAATACATTCTTTACACTTCAATTGAGATAAATGTTAAATTTTATGACTTTTTATATAATTTTTCATTTTTAATCTTCTTTTACTTTGTTATTATAAAAAATGTATACTAATTATATTTTTTATTTTCTTTCGTTTGTTAGATAGATTATGCGACTGACTGTAAAGAACCAAGTCATAGAGGAGATTTAAGTTGATAATTTACGATGGTTAATGATCTTGTTTTAGATAGTTTTATTTTGTGCATGTTAATTTTATTATCTTTGACTTTTTATTATGTCAAATCTTAAATGTTAATTTCACGATTTATGTAAGAAGACATAATTATGTAAGTGAAAGAATAAGTTTTAATTTTTTTTATGTTTAGATTATTTGTATATTTTATAATTATGGATGAAGTTTATAAGTTTTAATATTGTAATTTGTAAATAAAATAAAATAAAATTTTAATTCATTAATTCAAAACCAAACTAATTCGATGCTTGGTTGATTTTGATTTATTTTTTAAAAATATTTAATCTATTTGGTCTATAGATATGACGAATCAAACCACTCAATTGTCCACCTTTAATTATGAAGCTCAATAGATCAAAGCGCACAATACCTAACAGGTTGGTTTGGATCGTGACATTTTTCCGTTTAATCACCAAAAGTTTTTTAATTTCTTCAAGTGAAACCATTTATCTTACTAACCATCTCATTAAGCTTCAAAAATTTCACAACCACCAACACCCAACGTGTTAAAAATGGTAAGTGGATGGTTAGACCACCCAAGGAAACAAACCCTTTTGTCAAATTTCCTTGTTAGACTCAACATTTGATACGCACCCTGAATCTTTTCACCCTTTATAAATTAAGTTGCCATGGATCTCTCCCCTAGTTCCCATCAACGTTGCTATAGCTTCTGTTGTATATCCCATATATCCATCCATGGCTCCACAAAGTGGAACTGAGAAACCAATGTTTGCGTACAGTTCTATTACCTGCCAGGCAAAGAGTGGGTGGAGTTGGACCTTGGTGGGGCTGAGACTGCTGGCGTTTCTTGCCACAGCTGCCGCAGCTGTCGTGATGCTACTCAACAAACAAACCAAAACTCTTGTGATTGCCACCGTTGGGACCACCCCTGTCAAACTTACTCTCACGGCCAAGTTTCACCACACCCCAGCATTTGTGTAAGTATCAATTAATTTATTAAAGTTTTGTTTATGAGCAGTTGCTGATAGATTTTTCTTTGTTTACAGGTTCTTTGTTGTAGCTAACGGACTGGCCAGCATCCATAACTTGCTAATGCTAATGGTGGATTTGTTCGGGAGCAAGGTTGATTACAAGGGACTCCGATTTGCCATGATTGCCATTTTGGACATGGTAGGTTTAACTCCTTTCCTTTTTTCGCTTGGTCTTTTTGTTACTTTTATCAAGGGAAACGTTAACCACTTTCGATGTTTGGTTTTTGGATGTGCATGCATGCAGCTGAACGTGACGTTGGTGTCCGGTGGAGCGAACGCGGCGCTGTTCATGGCGGAGCTGGGCAAGAATGGGAATTCCCATGCGAGGTGGGATAAGATTTGTGATAAATTCGGAAGGTTTTGTCACCGTGGCGGCGGAGCTCTCATCGCCTCATTCGCTGCTCTAGCTCTAATGCTTGTCATCTCTGTCATCTCCATAGTTAAAGTTCTCAAGTCCAGTAAATAAATGCTCGTTATGTTCTTCTTCTTCGATCCTAAACACTAAACACTAAACCTCGATCATTTGTAACGCACCTCAACTTTAATTATATTTAATTATTTTCAATTTATATTGTCATATAAAAAATATTGTCAAATTCGATGTTCAATGAACGTATATAAAATCTCTTGTCCGTATTTATTAGTTGTTATGTTGTGCTAGTGTGAGTGGGAATTTTCGTTTCCGAATTTATAAGCATTGTTTATTGTTTTCGAATCCATTTTAGAAATGAAATATTCCATCCTCTTCTAAATTTCACTTTATTAATCTCAAATTTATAAATTAAAGCATTTAAGGTGAAACCTTAAATTTTAATTAACCATTGAAGTCAGAGGTGAAAGGAGGGGGCTTAATAAGAGCCCGTTTCTCAAAATTTCAAAAAATTATATTTTTTTATTATATTTTAAAATTTTATATTTATTTTTAAATTTTTTTATAATTTTATCTCTTCAAATATTAAATTTTTTATTTTTGTCACTTCAAACTTAAAATCTTGACTTTGTGATTTATTGAAGTATACCTTACATATTTAATTTGTTAGGTGAATAATTTCATGCAAAAATAAGAATTTAAAATTACAATGTAATACTTATAATAGACTAGACTTATCCATGGGTTAGATGACCCATCAAGCCTTTTTAGGCCCAAAATTGATTAGTGAAATTATTTTGTTAATGAAACTTTTTACTTGATTTAAATTTTAAAATATATTTAACTTATTAAAACATCAAATATAAGTTTTTAAAATATTTTATGGATGAAACTATTCATATGTCTTTTAAAATAGTAAATGAGAAATTAAATTTTTAAAATTCAAAATTAAAAGGTACAATTTGATAAATTGAAAATTTAAATGCGAAAAAATTTAAGGACAAAAATATTTATTCTAAAATGCTTAAACATTGATTTATACCATAAATAATAGATATACGATTTTATAAATATTTTATATTGAGAAAAATTAAAATAAAAGAAATAAAATAAGGTTACTAAAATTACATACAATATAATTTTTAATAATTTTATTTTTTGTTGAACAAGAAAAACCTAACTCCCATAACAACATAAATTATTGACATAATGTTTAAATAAATCCCCAAACTATTCAAGAATATTTAAATAAATTTTTATTTTTTATCACATTTAATCAATATTTTTATTTTGAATTCAATAAGTCTTTATGATTAATGATTGCCTAATTACCATTAGTAAAAATATTACTTGTCATTTTATATTCCATGACTCTGACATGATATTGATATGAAGAAGAAAAATATCAAATGATTATATTATCATACTAAATTAACATATCATATCATAATCAATGATAATATGCCAACATGTCATATCAGCATCACGCGATATAGAATAACAAATAATATTTTGACTGAGTCAATTATTAATTATAAAAATTTATTTAACTCAAACTAAAAGTGTAAGAGTTTATTTAACTTAAAATAAAAATATAAGGGTTTCATTGAATGCAATGAAAATATAAAAATTTATCTAAATTTTTAAAAATAATTTTGGAGCTTTTTTGTATATTATGGCTAAATTAATTAAAAAAATTAAAAAGATGCTATTTGAAAAAACTTAAAAGTATAAGGGGCGTGAATAGAATTTACCCAATTTAAAAAAAAAGAAAAGGAAAGGTATGAACTGTAGGACACGCAAAGGACAATTCCTGGTTGGTTGGGTAGTTGGTTGCCGGTTTCAGTTAATACTGCGTGCGTTTTGGGTTTTCGCGGCTTCCATTCTTTTATTCTACTTTCTCTCTCTCTCTATTATCTTTTTCTTTCCTTAAAATAATTATTTATTAATTTCTCTCTCTATTTTTCTTTTATTTAAATAATTATTTTAGATCCAATTTCCTGGTCGAGCGGGGACTCTTCTCTCCTACGTACCTTACCTCATCGATCTCTTTTCCTTTTCCAAATTAATTTAAATTTAATTTATTTATATTAACAAAAGAAAACCTTGGAATCTCAGCCGTTCCATACTTTTTTAATTAATTAAATATAAACTCTCTTTTCTTTTTCTTTTTTTTTTTAAATTTCATATTCGTCTGCTCACCGTTGATGGTTAATTTCTTTTCTTTTGCCTTACGTCTTTAATATGGTTTACCGAGTCAGAAAAAAAAAAGATTTTTTTACGTAATATTGTAGTTAATGCTAATTAATTCAGGTAAATTAGAGTTAGATTGGGATTAATAAAGATCTTTCCCTTCTGGAATTGGTCTTAGAGTTTTTGGTTGAATTGGGGCAAAAAGCAATTAATGCTATGGTTCTTGCTAGTTTTATTAGGGGAATGTGATTTGGACTGTTCTGATTTCTTTGTTCAAACAAACCCACCAGGAAACTCTTTCTACCAATTGCTAGGGTAGGTCAAAGTTAGAATCTTTCTTTTCTTCTTCTCTTTTTCTAACAATTTACAAGAAAAAAAAACCCTTTTTTTAAATAAAAATAAAATTTTTATTTAGTTTTGAGAATTCTTTCCTTCTCAAGTGAATGGAACAGTTGAAAATAGGAGCAGATTCTCATATGAAAGAGGTTAGATTCCCTCCCTTTTTCTTTGTTCTTCCTTTTTGTTCATATGTTTGATTCCCTGTTATAAATTTGCAGATCTGTTTACTACAACTTGCATCTTTCACATGTCAATTGTCTCTGATGCTTGTTATTCTTGTTATAGTATTATTCTTTCTTTTCCCTTATATTGTTGGTTCTTTAAATAGGTAAATATTTCAAGTGAATATTTAGAGGCATTATGGTATTCTTGGTTTAGAAAGCTTTGATGTTTGTCTGGTCATCAGATCATTCAGATAGCTAATTAAAGCCTGCTGTTATGAACAATGTTGATGAAAGTCCTGTCTTTTGGTTTATTCTGTAAAGGGATGGAATTAATATATGAAAATCTGTTTACATTTCACAGCTCTAAGAAAGCATCATTCTTGATATTTTACATCGTCAATTAACTATCATATCGGTTTAGATGGAATTAGTTCACATATTGTTTTCCTTTATGGGTGAAATCTTTTGCAGGAACTCATATCTATCACTTAGAAATTATGTCTTCCTAGTTTTGTGTTTACAACTTTTGTGGTTGCGTTTGAATGGGTTCTTGTTTCTAATCGTTGGAATGTGAAGGGAAACCTGTAGTATAAGTTATTTAGGAAATCCTGTTCATGAATGAGTAGAGGAATAGATTACAAGTTGTTAGCAACAACGGCTACTTATTCCTATAGTAAATAATGCAATAATGCCATTATTTATAAACTTACTTTTAGAATGCCTGGTTCAGGCTAATGAACCTAAAATATATGAATTCCTAACAAACGATGATTTGCAGGATCATTCTTCACAACTTTTCATGAGAAGAGATAATAATGTTGAGTCCTTGGGCAGTCCTCGAAGTCGAAAGGTAAATTAATGCAGTTTTGAGTAGACTCAATGTAATTGATAGGCTACAAATGCCTCCTTTTTGCAGACCAAAATGTTGTGGTCCTTGCAATAGCTTAGCCATAAATGACTTTTGTGTATTTTTTGGTTAAATGGAAGCATTTTAAGTGGGCACTTAGAATCCAGGTAGAGTCAAGATTTTTCACCATGGATTTTGAGGGCAGTCATTTGAAATTTTAGGTCTAACTATGTTAATTCAAAAGTTTTTTTTTTGTTTTTTTGAAAATTTGTTAATTCAAAAGTTAGTGGATGAATTTTTCTCATGATACCTAAAATACCGCAGTTATAAATGTTCTGGAAAAATGTTAAGACTCACATTGTTGCCACCAGAAACATAATCATTTTATTTAAAGTGGTGCACATTGGGATATATTTTTTCACTCATTTATTGTATGATCATCTAAAAATCCTCTAGCTTTATTCTCCTTCTGTTGTACAAATCAAATCATTGTTGGTATGTTTTAGGTGTCAGCAAGATGGGCTCCAGATGAAGCATGCAGGCCTATTATTGATGATGCTCCAGTGTTTTATCCAACTGTTGAGGTAATCTTCTCTTTTGAGAGTAAGGATTTGATATCAAATCTTTTTTAGTTGATAATTCCTTCTGATTACACTACTTAGAATTAAGGATGTTCCATTTATTAGGAATTTGAAGACACACTTGCCTACATAGAAAAGATTCGTGCAGAAGCTGAATCATATGGTATATGTCGGATCGTTCCACCACCTTCTTGGACTCCACCTTGTCCTCTTAAAGAGAAAGATACATGGGGATGTGCTAAATTTTCAACTCGAATTCAGCAAGTTGACTTACTTCAAAATAGGGAGCCGATGAGAAAGAAAAGTAGAGGTCGAAAGCGGAAGCGGAGGAGACATTCAAGAATGGAAGCTACTAGGAGACGTGCCAATTCTAGTTCAGAATCTAATGTAACTTATGAGGCTGATGAGAAGTTTGGCTTCCATTCAGGATCAGACTTCACTCTTGAAGAATTTCAGAGATACGCAGATGAATTTAAGGAGATGTACTTTCGAAGGGACTGTGACAAGGATTCAAAGCCTCATGTGGATGAATACGGGAAATGGGAGCCGTCTTGGGAGGATATTGAAGGTGAATACTGGCGGATAGTAGAGCAGCCAACAGATGAGGTTGAGGTATGGAGCATGGTCATCTAATTGCTCCTCTTTCTTATAGATTTCTTTTATGGAAGTCCTTGTTTACTTCTATTGGACTTTGCTTTCACATTGCAGGTATATTATGGAGCTGACTTGGAAACAGGAGCATTTGGCAGTGGGTTTCCTAAGGCGTCATCTATGTTGACTGGAAGTGATGCATATATATATGCAATGTCAGGTTGGAACCTAAATAATTTCCCGCGCCTACAAGGTTCAGTGTTATCTTTTGAAGGGTGTGATATATCTGGAGTTTTAGTGCCATGGCTCTATGTTGGGATGTGCTTCTCATCATTTTGTTGGGTAAGTCAAAAAACTGCTAGAATTAGACTTCCTCTTAGATCGCATGATTAAAAATTACTCTGGAAATTTGTGTTTTTCAAGGATAAATGATATAGTCATATAGCAGTGCCCCACTCTTATTTTTGGTCGTTGTTTTAAAATTGTACAACATGAACTCTTATAGTTTTGAATTTGTCTGGCAGTATGGTGACCTCTTCTTGTAGGACA